GATGTTCCTTAAGGGACTAAAATTAAAGTTTATTAGAAAAATAAGTATACCACTTAAAAAGTGAAATGGAACATGTACTTTTAGTAATGAAATTAAATTTTACTACATCCAGCAAGAGAAGAAGCAGGAAGATTAGTTGTTCAATTAATTTTTCATCTTAAATAAAAGAAAATCTCTATTATAGAGAAAATGCATTTAACATGCCAACTGGGTATATAATATATGTCCCAGATGTGAGATTTTCATTAGGAATGACAAAGCAAGAAAATAATGGTCTTCTGCATAACAGCAAAGGAAGAATTCAATTCAATTAATGAAATTGAAGGAAGTTTCACTGAGTTACCAGTTCTTCAGCTTTCTCTGCAGAGATTAGCACTGTCCCAAGGAGTATGTCTATGAATCTTGCAATCATCTTGAAAAATGAGCCAGATCCTCTGCTTTGAGTAGGGTGCGTAAAGATGCTCAGGAGGGGATCTGCAAGAGGCACATAGCTCCGAAGTGCTTGTGCCCTCTGCTTTTACGCTGAAGCCCACACACTATTGTATTGGCTTCAGGAGGAGGGCAGAACATGCAGCTCTCCCTGCTTCAGCCGAACCTTCTATGTACAAAGTGGCACAGCCATGATGCCTTTCCTGAATACACACTTTAAGGCTGCAGTGTCTGTGATTTTTGCTGAACAGGCCAAATGCAATCAGGGGAAAAGCCACCATCTGGACTCATCTTGTCTCTCCATTGCAGAGACTGTGATGAAAAGCAATGTGGTGTGATAACAAAAGCATTCTTTAGAAGGAATTGGCCAGAGCTTCATTTGCAGGAGGCACAGTACTGCTGGCACGGCTTACAGCTGCACACCACAGATCCCCTGAAAAGGATTGGGTTGGAGATAAAAGCCTGGCTTAAACCTGCTGAAACTCTGAAAGTTCTTGGCATGCTCAAAAATTGTATATGGTGTGCAAGGGCTGCAAGGGGTGGTGGTTGAGACATGTTGAGAGTGTACAATAAACTCCAAGACTAAGTGGTATCTGGCCAGAGATTATTTTTATTACAATTTTGGAATCTTATCCCAAACCCTCTATCTGGTACAGCCCTTGAGCATTCAACCACACCACCCTTAATGGCCCACGGCAGAAGCTGAATCCCTGGACTGTTCCCGGTAACGTTCAGTCCTGCTGGGACAGATTTCACAGTCTCCATCTGCTCCAAAAATGTCTCAGTGCTTTGGCTTCCTTCCTCCTCAGGTTGCTTCAAGCCTCAATATCTCCCAGTGTCCAACGAGGTGGAAAGGCAGTGGTAGCAGCGTGAGAGATAGTGGATGGGTAGAGAAAGACTAATCATTCAAGAGTGGAGGAAGGAGGAGGAACACAGTAACGGTGCTAGTCCAAATAAAGTTGACAGCCACTGCCGTATTTATTTAGAGGGCTCATGTGCTCAGCTTTGACCATGTCATTAGATGACAGCAGCTCATGGAAACAGATGAATTGCAATAATAAATTCTCCACACAAGGTGACTTAAGTATTGTCATCTCAAAAGCCAAATTCTGACAACTGCCCTGCAAACACCAGTCTCATGTATCTCTCCATTTCCAGGGCAGAATGATGGATTTGTGAGATTTAAATCCTTGCATCAGATACAAAGAGATGTCCTACCTAGATAGGGCCTCATTCTATAGATCTAGAAAAGACTGAGTTACCATCAGGAAGGCACCACACGTTAGCTGACAATATTTCTGCCTTTAACCACATGACAAATATAAAATCCTGCGTGATTACTCATTTGAAAAATATGCTGTGAGGCTAGTGTCTACACTAAGAAAAAATTCATACAGTTTAAGTGCAGATGAAATTCTTAGATCACCTGGATCATAACCTGAAAGCCACAGATCATTAGACTTCATTGGAAAGTCCTATATCCACTTTCATGGCAGGAAGTAAATGGAAATCTTTCATTCTTTGCAAAATGATAAGCTATTCTAAGCCACAGGAGGCCAACATGTCATGGATGCATGGGCAGAGAATTGAATAAATGACCCATACCACACTGTCCTGTGGAGGAAGGCAGGAAAGAACAAAACAATCTCTATTAGTTCCACCTGGTCAAGAATTCCTTCATGGCCTGCAAATATGCCAGATTGCCTTACAAATATGAACAAGAACCACTGGGACAGAACAGCCATGAGTAGAATCCGAACAGCCACCCTGTTCATCTCCTGCTGTGGCAGATCTCTGCTGCTTCAACTTCACAGCAACCAAATACAGCCAGGATGTGAGTGTAAGCAGCTGTATCTGGAGGTAGATTCCTTCCTGGCACCTGCAAGCAATTGCCTGAAGCCATGAGACATGAGATTTGATTATAATCACAGTTCACAGCTTCAGAGCATGCTTAGGGTAAGATAGGCTTTTCTTTCTTCTCTTTTCCATGAAGGGAGGGTGGGATATTGTGGAGAGTCACTGACCTCAAAATCAAAATGGAAGACAAACACTGACTATAGCTGGACTTCTCTTCCCAAGTGTACTCATTTTGGCTGGGTTAGAGTTAATTCTCTTCCTAATAGGTGGTAGAGTGCTGCGGTTTGGATTTAGAATGAGAATAATGCTGATAACACACCAATGTTTTAGTTTTTGCTCAGTAGCACTTACCCTGATCAAGGACTTTTCAGTGTCTGCCATTGAGGTGGGGCACAAGAAGCCAGGAGTGAGCAGAGACAGGACACCTGACCCAAACTAGTCAAAGGGATATTCCACACCACAGTACATCATGTTTGGTATAGAAACTGGGGAAGTTGGCTGGAAGGGATCAGTTGCTGCTCAGGGAAGAGCTGGGTATCAGTCAGCTGGTGGTGAGCATTGCATCACTTGTCTGTCTTTGGTTTTATTGCTCTCTCTCTTTTTCCTATTATTACTATCATTATATTTTACTTTCAGATATGAAACTTTTCTTATCTCAGCCCACAGGTTTTACCTTTTTCTGACTTACCTCTCCATCCCATTGGGAATGAGCAAGCAGTTGCATGATACTTCATTGCATGCTGGGATTAAACCACACCACCAAAATAAAGCCTTTTACTATGCAGTCCTTTTACCATGAAATTTAATCTCACCTGATACACCCAAACCAATGGTAAATTCACGATTTCTCCTGGCAAGCTATTTCAGTATCAGCATCTACGCGCTACTAGCAAATTGTACCCGTTTCCAGGAGTGATGTAACTACTGCAAGTCCTGGACTTCGGAGGCAGTGCTGGTCCTGAAGGAGGACAGAAGGGGTTGGATACCCTATGCAGTGTATCAGTAAACTCACACAGATTTTCAGTAACCTGATGCTCGCAGCTTGGTTATGGCAGTCCCCTATTTTCTAGGTCAGACAAAGGAAACTTTGTTCTCATCCTCTAGTACCTCTTAATTTCCAAATAAAATACTAAGACTATAAGATTAATCACTCTTGCCAACTTGTTAATTTTACTAGGAAAGGGCTACTGTAGCTAATAAAAGATTTCTTCACATTCTTCCCTTTTCTTCCCTGTCCTAATGTCCTGTGAGTCTAAGCAGGAAACTGAGCCCCCTCTTTTCTTTTTTTATAGTCACTGAATCAAAGTATCCAAACCTGGCACATAGAACCATAGAACCATAGAATAGTTAGGGTTGGAAAGGACCTTAAGATCATCAAATTCCAACCCCCCTGCCATGGGCAGGGACGCCTCACACTAAACCATATCACCCAAGGCTTCGTCCAACCTGGCCTTGAACACTGCCAGGGATGGAGCATTCACAACCTCCCTGGGCAACCCATTCCAGTGCCTCACCACCCTAACAGGAAAGAATTTCCTCCTTATATCCAATCTAAACTTCCCCTGTTTAAGTTTTAACTGGTTACCCCTTGTCCTGTCACTACAGTCCCTAACTAAGAGCCCCATCCCCAGCATCCCTATAGGCCCCTTTCAGATACTGAATATAATAGCCAAATAATGGTTCATTATTCAACAGAGTGCTTGCCTTGAAGAAGCACTGTTACTAGGTACCAGTTATTGCCTTTTTCCTTGACCTAAAGTGAAATTATACATTGCATTATAAACTAGAGAAAAGTAAACACTGTTAGACAGTGATTTAAACGACAAAGAAACACTAAAGAAACACCAAAACCACTTGGTGCCCTATTTTGTTGAGGCACTCTATCATACGCAGCTTTATTCCCTCTCATGGTAGCATACGACTTCCATCTTTACCTGTGTATGCATTTCTTGTGGGCAGAAGATGTAGAGATCTGTGTCATATACTTGTAAATGGAGATTTCAGCTAGGTGTTTGCCTTCTACATCTGCATTCTCTTCTTAAGGGTGAATTTGGTCTGGTATTAAAACTCTCAGAGACATACCTGGAGTATTTTTAAACTGCATGGCATAACCGTCACTAGCACTCAGACTCTCTGAAAGTTGACAAGTGCAGGGACATGTGGTTCTCCAGCATCCAAAACACTTTTTGCTGAAAATGGAGTTCTCAAGTCTGTTCCTGGTGTGAAAACTTTCCCACATAGCTTTGGACAACTGAGACGTGCAGCCACCCACCAGACCTCACTGTAACCAGGCCCACAGAGTCAGTCTCCGCTTTAGAGTTGTCTCTATCCACTAAGACTCAATGACAGGTAAACATCGTGGCATCGTATTTTCCTTTATTTTTTGAAAGATGATTAAGTCTTTGTTATCCAGAGTCAAACCTAATGCAGACAGCTGCTGCCTCTCTTCCTGACAGCTCCTATTTCCCACAGAGCATTGCTATCATTATTATAATGCTGGTAACAGCACTAGTATCAAATTTGCATCTAGTGGTCCTAACAGGCAGCCTCATTATACCCAGTATTGAACAAATACCCAGGGATGCATGCTCCCCGCTGCACAAAGGGATGATGTCCAAGATGTTCCCTAGACTGAATCAAATGGAAAATGTCAGACAGCACTTTCAGCCAGTTATCCTGATAAATAAGTCTCTTTAATTAAAAAGAGCACTTGATTTTATTTTTTTTTTTATCAAATCAAATACTTCCTTTTCTTTCAAGTGGTCAATCTCCCCTGCATTAAATTCACATTAGTATTTGTCTGTGTTCAAACCCAGCAGGGAATGGAACTTGCACTGAGAAGCCTCCTCCTGAATGAGCAGCCAGACCCATAATGACAATTAAAAAGAGGTTTAGAGGCTATTTAAGCCTCAGTCTCTCCCAGTGCCTTTACACAGGATGCAATTACCACCTATTAACAATGAAGAGAATTTATTGGTAAGTTTTTGAACATTTTGTCCTTTAAAGCAAAACAGGATTTGTCTTATTTATCACTTTCTGTAAGGAAAAGTGAGTCTAAGGACATTATTAACTCCTTGGAAAGGTCTCTCCAAGGCTAATGAAATGAAGGTGCAAGAGAGCATCAGTGATGTTTCACAAGGGAAGGGGAAGAATAACATTGAAGGAGAGTTGGCAGAGATGATAATAACCAGAGGAAGAATGACGTGGACATACAGTGTAGGAAACCCTGTCAGTTAACAAATGTTCATCAGTCTGAGGAAAGCACCTGAAGAGGTTTCTAACCTCTTCAGGTCCTGGTGGGTGATTTCCTGAAGAAAATCCCCAACTTTAAATAAACAAATTGTTATTGTGATCTCAACTGCCCTTCAAACCCATTTGAAAGGGGACAAAAATTTCAGAACTTATTAATGGGAAAGGACAGAGACACAATAAATCACTCACAGAAGGATTGTGTAAGCCTTGTCCCTGAGGAGTTAGGCTGAAAATGTCAAGTACTACTGAATACTGCAGAAAAACAAATTTTTGCTACTCCCACTATAAATTGGGATTCACATGCCTCATCAGAATGTTATTCTTTATAGCTATTTTTTCATTAATTTTTACAGCATAATTAAGGAATATAAGAAAAGCATTCTGTTCTGGTGGGATTACAGCAAATAATGGGGATTGTGAAAGGCCTAGAGCCACTACAGTAATACTTTAATCCTTGCTAATACACCCCTGTTCTTCTCTTTTTAAAAAAACTAAAAGCAACGTGCCAAAAAACCTCCAAACAAGAATAACAAGCATTCCCTAGGGAGACAGATCTGCCAGTCCTGGCAGCTCGACATGCTGTGCTACTCACATCCAGAGCACTAACACATCAACTCCACAAAAATAAGCAGCTGATTAGGAGTAAGCATTGACCTATGCATGCAGTCTATCTTACAGACTAGGCTTGCCACTTCATTCTGGCTAATTTTGCTCTGGAATGGTCCTGTTCGCACAGATGAAAAGTTTCCACAAACCAAACTCAGATAAAATCTATCAAAAACCTGATTTATTTTTTTTGGTAAACAATACCAATATAAAACATTTTTGTACAGATGCTTGTGTCAGTCTACTAACCTCCAAAAATCTTTACGGAATTGGGTGGGGTGCAGACAGTGGGGTTCAGCTCTTGGTCCCTGAAGCAGATGGGACACAGGATGGCAAATGAAGGCAATGATGCAGAGCACCTCCATTTGAAAGCAGATAGCTTAATCAGCTTTCATGTAAATACAATATATATGATACTTCTAAGTGTAATATATATAATACTATCCGTGTTCGTACTCAAAAGTATGTGCCCTTGGATCTCTTCTTGGCCCAATGTGCAGCTAAGACATAATTACCATGAAGGGAAAGGGAAGCAGACCAATGCATCTGGAAGGAATAAAGTGCTTCAGCCCATAGTTTGAATACTGAATATCCAAGGACAGAATGAGGGAATGTAGAATGGTTTCAAGCTGTGAGATCAAAAGGGACAGTGAAACTTTTTAAGCTGAAAAATAAGAGACCAGTATGTTTCTTTTTTTTAAGCTGTGAATTTCATTGTGATGCTGTTTGTCAATGTCTGTGGTGGAGGCCACTGCAGAGAAAGACTTGCCTGGAAATGCTGACTTTTATCTAATTTGAACAAGCTGACAGCTGACAGTCACAAATTTAATCAAGAAAATGATGGAGGCATCAGTGTAACTGAAAAGGGCAAAGAAACATCAGCATTTGCAAAATGCAACAAGAAACAAAATATGCTTTCATTTATGTAGATTGTAGTCTCATTTCACCTACGATAAACCCAGACTTTTAATTCTGAAAGGTTGTAAAGAAGTTTATCTCCACACAGACCAACAAAAGACAGCCAGAGCAGGAACCACAAATGAGGGCTCCTTCTTGAATGCTGGTTTGCTTTCATTTTCCCAGCAGTGTGGCATGGACATGCAACATGCCAAATCAGAGCACAGCACTTTACTCTTCATTTGCATCAGACAACAAACACCAGAGAATTTTAATGATCTGAGGCCTTTTCAAAATATATAGTAGCTAGCCCATGAAAACCTGGAGCCTTTGTGTTCTTAAATGAGCAAATACAATACTTCAGAGGAAATAACTTCTAAGTCTTCATGTTACTGTACACTGGAAACCCCCTGATTAAAAGTGTGCCTGACTGTGCTATATGTGCATAGATCTTGAGATAGCTCCGGGCACCAAACTGCAGTCTCAACAGAAGAACTGGACAAGAAGAAATACCCAGGGCATGCCTTCAGCAGAGAATGGGCATCAACCCCATGACTGATGAAGTCCAGGACAACCTCCACATTGGACCATGTAACCACTGACCTTGACAAATCCAGACTCTTCATGCAGTAAAGTCCAAATTGGATCTGGAGATGCTGTGCTACTCCACACCATTACACAAAGGCAGAGATATATTGGATAGCTCTGTGTGCCCATCACATCAATACCCACATGGCTGGCTTGGGAAAGAGTGCTCTTGAAGTAGCCTTGTCTGCCATGGTGCATACATCTTTATGCAGGTTTCTTCCCAGGGATTGTGCGGGCATTACGGAAATTCAAAGAAATGGACTTCAGCCCTCAACTGTCTGTATGGCTGCGTAAAACCCTGTTACTCTGCTGGCATCATGCAAGGCAAGGAAAGGCCCAGTAGAGAAGATGGTGGCATGGCCTTTTTGTGGTCTAGTCAAAACCCTTCAACACCTAGCAAGAGGTGGAGGGCTGGGATGGAGAGAGACAGTCCTCCTTTCTGACATCTCTCAGGAAGGCAGGGATACATTGAAATATTGCTAGAAATATTGCCCATCAAACCCAGTCCCTCCCAACTCCACTCTTCCCTGCAGTGGATCTGGGGTCAGAAGCAAGGGCAGCATGCAGCTGAAAAGACTGAAAATACAGCTGGCAACTGAAAAGGTAACCAAAAATACTGAGTGATTTTTTTTTCTTTTTTTTTTTATAAAATGTACATAAAGAACATATACCCTTTGAGGTAAAAGTGAGACCAGTTCGTATTATAACCAGATACATTAACAACAATGACAAAAAATAAATCTACAGTGGGTGTGCTAGTAAAATAAGAGACCAAGTTTTGGCTATATACAATACTTCAGATCATTAAAATGTAATAATCATTATATATACATTAAATACATACAATTACAGTTATTTATATAGTATTTACACACACAGACACGGATTTTTTTCCCTTTGCCATTAGTAGTGTGCAAGTAGAAACACATCTGATCTTTCCTGAGAAGGTGCTGAGGCTGCTAATTCTTGCAGTAACATGTTTCTTCAACCTCTTTTGTGGTCATATCTATCACAACGCATTCAAGAATTTACAGTCATGGTTGTTGCAGTGTTCCTCTTTCTTCCTTACTGGTGGTGAAGCGCATCCCTTCAGCCTGCAGAAGGCAAAGATTTGTTTCATGCAAAGGTCCTGGATCCCAAGGAACCATCAGTGGTATTTCTCCAGTTGTCAGCCATGACCTTATCTGTGAGCAAAGCCACATTAATATTCATTTGTCCAAGCACTTGCCAACATTCAAGTCTCTTTCTCAATGGAAAAAAAAAATTTACACAGAATAGAACTGGAAGGAAACTGGTTGCAAATCACCCGTCACAGGTCTCTAGTGACATTCAACATGACCATGACAAAGAACCAGCTAGGAGAGACCATGTTAGGTGAGGCTACCAGGATGCATGCACACACCTACAGAGTGAACACAAACATAATCATCTTATTTTTTCTGTTTCTTGTCCAGATCTTGTAATCAAAGTACTAGGATTGAGCTCAGTAAGATACATAATGCAGTGAACAACTGGGGGCTTATTGCTGAACTTAGATGTTTTGGGGTGTTTCAGAAGGACATGCAGGGAGGAAGGAATTACTCACCCCAGGTACAGAGTCATTGCATTCTCTAATGACCTGATCCGTTTATTGTCACTTGAGTAGTCTCATCATAACAGAACTATTTCTCTGTGAGGTATGAGTAAGATGCTATTTTATAAAAGGGAAGTCAGTGTCAGCACTGCAATCTCTGAAAGACTTGCTCTCCAGAAGCACTCCAGTTAACTGTTCACAGACTTCGGATGTGGTGTTCTGGGGAGAAAATACAACAAACTTCCCATAACATAAAGCTTCTACTAAACTCCCTAGTCTGATAGGTAAAAAGGGAAACTATAGCATATTTTCTTGGTTAACAATAGCTCTTTTTTTGTTGTTACGTATCTTTTCTAACCCAGAGATAGAAATACTGTAGCCTGACCAAAACAGAAAAAAGAGCAATCTGAAGCTGGTATGGGGGTAAGGAGGGATCGGAGCTTAACATCAGAAAATGAGGAAAATAATGTTTTAACATTGCTGGCACAAGAGCAAATGATGCTAAACTGGCCATGGACACATTTATGCTGGCAACAAGAATAAGGATGGAAAACCTTCCTGCAGCGAGGTTTTGCAATAGCATCACGGGCAGTGTAGAGGGCAAAAATCAAATGCATCCTCCCTCCTCCACCTTTTAATTGGTTTTAAGATTGATGTATTTGTGAGCAGGGGCATGGTTGGTGGTTGCTGGCTCAGGTGTGCACAGCACATCCCTCTCCAGGCCAAATCCTGCAAAGCACCTTTTCCTGCCTACACCCTGCACCAGGGCAAGTTCCCATGGGATCTTTGGGGTGAAACGGTGGTTACGGGTTTAGGAAAAGATGACATAAAAAGTTCTGAACACTGAAGGTCTGATGACTGCAGGATTGCATGAGCTGTAGCTTTGTAAGGTCCTTGCATGAAGGAAAATCAAATGCTTGGTACATGCTGGTTTAATTCCTTCTGGGCTGGTGAAACTTACACTGGCAGTGTGCTTTTATTGAAAAAAAAAAAAAGAAATATAATAATAACTTTTTTATAGTTTTGGTTTGTTTTTTTTTGTTTGTTTGTTTTTTTCATTTTATGGGAAAACACAAGAATTTGGTACCCAATCTCTTTATTAGCATATATATGCAAAGAGTGCTTATAATACCAAACTATTTTTTTTTGTTTTTATTCAACTACTATAGACAGCCATTGTTCTGATGGATCATATTTTTTCTTTAGGAGGAAGATAGTTTCAATTACCCGTTCATACATGTAAAAACATTACTAGAGAGTAAACCCTTCAAAAATAAAAGAGGTAGACCTCTTCCACTAAGGGTGAAAAAAAAAAAATCTGGTTATTCTGACTAAACCATTCACTAGAAAGGGATTTTTCTGACCTTACAAGGCATTAAAAGAGAAAACAAACTTCAATGATAAGCTAACGTTTTAACTAATCAACTTTAAAATTTGGAGACCTCAACTGCCCCCAGAGCTGTTAAAACTCAGTTCTGCCATTTACACTGCTGAATGCAGTAGACTCAAGTCTGGGTGTCAAGAAGAAAACTGCTCCAGCATCAGTGGAGGCTGGTACTTGTGTGTGAAGCTTGCAGCCATTCAGGGGCTAGGAGCTGCAGCTCCACCTCATTGGGAACCAGCAGTTCCTCTTACAGATTCAGAAGAAATTTCACATTTCAAAGGATTTCTGTGAGCCTGACAGTAGCACACCTTAGATAATAGTCTCCAAACACTGGCTGATATGAGATGGGCTCAAGTAAACACCCTATCCTCCACTAGTTAATGCCTCCATCACGTAAGCCGTTGCCACTTTGACAGGCTCTCAAAGAGCTGCTCCTGCCTTCAAATTGCAATTTTGCATTTGTAGGGATATAGGGAGATCTGAAAGGTGTTTGCCCTCTTTTAGTCTATGCTCTTTTATCCCCACCTGTGTCCCACCCAGGATTCAAGCATGGCTGAAGCCAGCTGGAGAAGTGGTAGGTTGGTAGCAGAGTGAGATCAAAGCACTTCATCTGGGATTTCACATTCAAGCTATGTGCCTTGTGAAAGAATTAAACACGCATGGCATTGCTGAATGCAATGAAACGGGAGTACTCCAATAATGCCCTTATTTTCCCACACCATCCTGTGAAAGAATTAAGAAGTCTTAGCTTGAGATCTAAACAAGCAAGCATGATCTCCATTTCTCTGTCTTCAAGGCTGTCTTCCTCACAGCTGCCCAAGCACCAGAGGACACTGCCAGGCATTTTCCAAATCCTCCCTTCCCATGGAGTCCCCCATTACACCACTGCCATCAGCCCTGTGGTGCAAGCTCTGCACGGTGTCTTGAAGATACTTCTCCTGGTATGTGCTCATCAATGGGTGTCCAAATTTCAGTTTACTTTGAATCTATTTTTGGAAGGGATAAATCAGAGGGGAAATCAGGGAAATACTTTAAAGCAAATTGAATGTTTCATGTTTACTTCAAATTGATTGACAGATTGCCACTGTATTTTTTTTTCTATATTCCCTGTTTCATCTGATCAGAGCAGTGAAATCGAGTGTCCTAAAATACAGCAGAACAAGGTTTTCCTTCAGCTTGGTAGGGTGAAGCACAAGCATGTGGGAACTTCATGCAGTGCCTGCCATGGCTCCAGCCCAGCTTCATTCAGGAGCAACACTGCAGCTGCTCAAACTAGAAAATGAGCAAAACTGAGATCGCACAATGGTCAGAAACAGAACAGGAAACGTAACAGGGGAGTCTGCTGCAAACCCTCGTACATCCATTTCTGGCAGGGCTCCTAGCAGCCCTGGGCAAAGCCAGCCTCTCCGAAGACTCATGCCAAAAGCACCCAGAGGGAAACCTCTCAGACAATCCCACAGTTCTGTGGCTTCCACAATAGATCAGTGGGAGGATACAGGTGAAGGTTTGGCTTCCACAAATCCTGACTTAAGAGAAAAACCAAACTCCTACACAAAAATCTGCATCAGGGTCTTACCATGCCTGACCTGCTTCTCCATCCCTAATTAAAACCCAGTGCTTGCCAGTGGGAAATTTGGGGTTTTTTTATGAGTGTCATCCCACAGTTCATCCAGAATCTGAGATCCCACCATCTTCAGAGCAGCCTTCCTGTTGCGGTGTGGGGAATTACAGGTACCACAAACTGCCTACAAACCAGGGAGCTGACAGCATCCTCCAAAGCTCCAGCCCCCAAGCATTGCCAGAATGGACCATTGTATCTTCATGTAACACCAGTTTATCACAGGAAAAACCAAGCCATGCCAGCTGCACCCATCTGGGCCGCATAAGGCACACTGCTCAACAAACACACATACGACTTGGCATACCTTACCTGGAAAGAGGCTTTATTGAACATAGGTGTAAAATTATCTCTTTAGTTGAATTACTGGATTTGCACAAACATTTCTCTACAGAATAAAAAAAATCAAGCCTTGTCATTGTTTTACTGCATCTCGTTGTGCTTTTTATACTCATATTTGCAAATATTATACTCATCTGTTTTTTTTTTTTATGTTTGTACTCCAATTATTTGCATATAATTTCCTTTTATTCCTAGGGTATCAAGAGAACACAGAATAATAATTATAATACTCTTCTTTAGACAAAAGTCTTTTTTTTTTTAAATGAAGTTAAAAGCTGAGATAATTTAAGGAAAAAGGTATTCAAATTGTCATAAACAACTGTAAGGGAACTTTACAATGCAGTGGAAAACCGGCTGGCTAACGGTATGTGTTCGGGTAGCTCAAACCCATTTGTACAGCCTTTTTTTTTTTTTTTTTGTTGTTGTAAAAGTGGATTTTTTCTCTTGTTTTTTAAATTTTGCTACAATAACAAAATAATCTTTCATGATCTGCACAGAATCTGGCTCCAGGGCATAGGCACAGCACCCTTGGTGCTTCACTGGTGCCGGGGTTGCAGTGAGCTCTGCAGTTTGCTGGGTGTCTTGGCACGCACCGCTGTCCCCATGCATGCCTCCCCATCCCATTAATACTGGGGCTGACAGCCTTGTGAATGGAGTTTACAGCACGAACATCTCTTCCGTGTTTTATCACCTTCTGCACTAAGTGTATCTTAACCTTTTCCTCTGGTTGACCCACTTGATAACCTGGAAAAACAACATCAAAAAAAAGTGCTGCTCCCATTTCCAGGACCAACGGAAACTATTTTCTAATGGGTAGTTAGCTGAAAGGCCATGGCTGTCTGGAACACTAAACAACAAATATCTCATCCGGAAGGGCTTATGCAGCAGCTTAGGTCCATCCATCTCCAGAAGCGACTTTGTCTCCTTGCCTGCAGTCTGCACACCCAGGCTCCGTAGTTTGTTTAGAAAATAGTTTGCACAAACCACATTTTTGCAGTGCAAGCTTCTGTGTTGAAACTATTATTATTATTTTATTTATTTATTTTTAAATCAGGCTTGTTTCATTGAAGGCACTTGGTTTCCATGGCAATTTATAAAAGACGGTGGTTTGGTTTCTTCACTTCATTAGAACAGATGACTTAGTTGGGGAGGGGAGAGGGGTGTTCGAGTGGCCGCAAGCAAACTCCGATAAGCCTGTGTAATATGTAAGCCCAGGTTGCACATCCTGGATAGTAATGCATGCAAAAGGAGACAGCATACAGTTATCAAGCATAGCCATGAGAAATGAAACATAAATGTCTTAAAACACTCTGATTTAGGGTTATTCTCTAGGAGATGTGACAGCCAAAGTAGAAAGGGCCTACATTTATTTAACTCTATACTAAAAACCTTCTTCAAGGGAAAATGAATGCCAGCTCTTCACATACCCTGTTTGCAGTGAGGTGTTTCTCCATTTTTGTTTTTATTTCCTCTCCTTCTTTTTTATTTTTTTTGGCAGGCCATTAGGTTTCCATGGTAACAAGCAAACTATTCATTTGAAACAAAACCAGCCATGACTTTGTGCTTTGACAAGGGTTTCTATAGCTCTTTTCCAAGAGTTCAACCAGATGATGCTGTATTCATTATTGACCACAAAAGCACCTGAAGGTCTCTTCCTTACAAGGCCAGATCTCGTTCTCACGCGTGGTTCATAGTGAGTTACACTCCCGTGATGCCTTTTATGTCCCCAGTGCTTTTTAATTTTTTTATTATTTATTTATGTATTTATTTAACTTCTGAGTCAGTCAGTGGAGGAATCTTTGGTAGTTTGTTTTTAAATGTCCATTTTACAAAGACTCTTTCTTCATGCCAGTGCCTGGTGAATCTTTTGTAGCCTCTGCCAGGATAAGGTCACCTCTGATGACTTAAGAAAGACATGAGGATGATAACTGGAATAAGTCGTATATGCGCTAATGTCCCAACAGCACCTGATCGTAAATCTACAAAAAGGGGGAAAAAGGTAGAATTAAAGAGCTGCCCAGACACAGTCAGCATTGCTATAAGGCTTAGAAGACAAAAGTCTAAGCCACTGAATGAGGCAAGAAATGTTGGGATAAAAAACCACCTGGCTGTGTAGTTAAGGCCTGTACTATAATGCAGACACGGGGTGTGGAGGGATGGAACAAGGTCCACAGGGAATCACAACACTGATATTCATTAATTTCATACTGCTTGCACCCCCTGATCTATTTTTAATGCTGCTTTATCTGCTTGCCTGTCTTGAATCACAGCCACCCAGCCCAGCACCACTGTGGAGTGCAGTCTGTACCTAATGCTCACCAGCTTTTCACTTCCATCTCTGCTAAAATCAGCATTTTCCTATCTGAGCAAAGATGTTTTGACTCCAGAGCTTGCTTCCAAGGAAAAAGTTTTACTTTAAGTCTCTCCAACTGAACTGAACAATATACTGTTCTTGAGAAAATCCATTTCAGAAGGTGTCTCAAATTTATAATGACAAGAAGCTATTTGCTCTCCCCCATGTGCAGAAAAGCCACTTACTGTTGGCTGGTTGGTCTGATTTCATACACTCTCCTTCCACAATTGATACATCATCAATAGCAATATCACCTTCGATGCCAGGGCCCCGGATCCCTTCAAATATGAGCTGCAAAAAAATAAAGCAGCAGCAGATCAGAGGGTGATGAATGGAAAACGTTCAGCTGCATTTTGCACAGCATTAAACTACACTGATGGGATTGCAGCAATTTGCAAACCCTTTTCCTGGTGCAAAAAACTGCAACTGAGTAAGGTGAACACAGAAGATGTGTGAGCTGTGGAGGCTTTTACTCTTCAGAATGAGGTGAAAAATATCAGAGCTGCCCATCATCTGCGTATTTGTCTACCTAGTGCCTCCAAGTCAGCTTTGCCACTATGCTAACTGCAATGTGTTTATGCATGTAAGTACGATATTCCTGAAGAAAATAGCAGGATTAAATGGAAGAAAAGTTTTAGAGCTATTTGGGGTGTTTTCTCTTGGAAACTCCTGAGGCACAACTTGACGAACAGCCTCTGTGACGTATTGAAGGGCTGATCATCATTTGATCACAGACTGCATTAAAACACACGAGCTGGAAAAGCTCCACAGGAAGATGAATTTTCAGGCTCTTGAAGTTAGCTCAACCCGTCCCTCCTACTCCATCACCCGCATTGGGGTCCCTCATCTGCAACCTGGTGGCAACTTCCCTGCAGGCAGAATGAGGACAGGAAGTGACCCTGAAATCTCTCTTGGACCATGAAAGATTGGGAGAAACCTCTCAGGAGCCAGACTGGTGTCCCTTCACCCATACTGGAAAGCCGTATTTGTCTCAAGGGGTAAGGAAGGGGCTACCTTTGATTCAGATTCCCCAAGGTCTGACAGTCTGACAGTAACTTCCTGCAATCACCTCAGTTGATTGCAACCTCCCAAACCTCCGCCATGGAAGGAACTGATGGCAGTGACAGCCCTGTTTCTCTCCTTACTCTTTTAGTGGCTCATCATAGAATCATAGAATAGCTATGTCATCATGTCTAGAGGCTATAATCCCCTCTAAGAATGGTTTCATATTTATCAGAGGATACTGTGATGTGTTAATCACAGAGAGGGTCAGGGTAGACATCTATTCCTCTTTAAGGCTTTAACCTCTGCTGAACTGATGCCAGTGATTTCAAGGTCCTATTAATCATTTCTTTCATATTCCTAGTCAAACCCCCACTGCTACAGCTGAGAAAAGAAATGGTGCCTGTATTGACATGGGTGGCTTGATGCAAGGACAGTAATATTTGCTGTAATGTTTGCCATTAGATATGGCTTACTATTGTGCTAAAGAAACAAAGTTATCCTTTCTCCTTCCCCCAACCCAACATGATGCTGTTTTGCCGTACAGCTGCTTAATTAGCTTTGCAGAAGAGTGGACTCATTCTGTGTTGCAGAAATTTATTCAATAGAAAACTTCAAAGCCTTTTTCTAAAGAGATGAAGGAATTATGTAAGGAATAAATTTCCCAACCAGCAACATTTGCACAGTTATCTCTCCTTTCCTTCTCCTTCCCTTTCAGTCCTTAGAAATATTTTTGGTTAACTTAGATGACAAGTTTTTTAACTTTAATCTGCAACAATATATGCATGAAATTCAATGAATTTATAAGGGTGTGCTGTGGCACTAATGGAGACATTAACTCTTGGGGGTAGAGACAATTTGAGAAAAACCCTAATTCCATCTGGAGCAAAATACTTAAATTATACTTCATAATGATCCAACTGCATCAGGGAGCTGTCTGAGGCACTCAGGTAGGCTCTCTCTCTTGTCATTCATTTCAGCAGGACACAGAACTGAGCCTCTTCTTTTGGCAGCTTCCAACATTTCTTTGCTCATTATTACAGTTTAAGCAGAGCTACTCAATTGAAATGAATACCTTTCATTATAAATGATGAGTAAACAGGGCAGTGGAAAATGACCCTGTAAATCACAGGGGTCCATCAGTGAGTCCAGCTGGATAAGTATCACACAAGGGCTGTAACACAATGATGCGCAATGCCACCAGACATTACATTGCACACAAAATTCTCCACTGTGCCTTTTTGCAGAGGGCAAGTCCCTCAATCTTGTCCAGATACATGGAATCACAGAATCATAGAATGTTTTGGTTTGGAAGGGACCTTAAAGATCATCAGTTCCAACCTCATGCTGTCCTTTTGCTAAGCTGAGCATCCCTAGTAGATGCCTGACCCTGCAGTAGTATAAAGCATGCATTTACAGCCTGCCTCTTGTGTTGTAAGCCAGGTGGCAATGTCTGTGCTGGGAGCATTTGATAACATGAAAGCTGTGCATTTGGAGCAGGAGACTCCATTGACATTTCACTGAAGTGTGGCACTGTAGGTTAATTACTGTAACAAGGTGGGTATTAATGTAACAGCGAAATGTGACTGGGAAAACAGTAAGTTTTACTATGATTTGCCATGTCTGAAAACAGTGTCTCAAGGAGTTATCCTTCACAGTTTTTCGACTCTGCCCTTGATGATGGTCAGTATTTAGCTTGAGAGGAAAGTGTCTTCTCCCACAAAGTACAAGTTGCTCTCCTGCTCCTTGGCAGCAGGCATGTAACCAGTCAACAGAGGTTAAAGTCAAATCTTTCCTGATACTGAAAAACACTGTTTCTAGACAAAAGGACTCTATACAAATACAACAGCCAGCATTTAATTAAAATCTGCATTTGGCAGTGTGCTTTATGGGCTTCAAAGATGGGCTGCTATTAGCCAGCTTGGCTACATGCTCAGAACAAATAACTGCAAGAGAGTGCTGGCAAGGCATGGAGCACAACCCAGCCTGCAGCTCACAGATATTTGCAGGAGGTGCCAGATAATCAGAATCCCCTATCAATATCCTGCAAAACCCATTATCTGCATGTCATGACTTTACAAAGCTGTTGTTAAAAATACTGCATTTAGCTGAAGAATAGTACAGCAAAGGCTACTTTGCTCTCTTAACAGGGGAAATGGAAATAAACCCCTATAGTGCCTCCAGAGTCATCCTAAGTGTCTCCGGGGGATTTAGCTTGTGCTTCTTCAGCAGGATTTCAGACAGATTTTACCTTCTTAGCCAGTCTCCTAATGATCACATAATCATTGATTTATAGAATGGTTTGTGTTGGAAAGGATCTTAAAGCTCATCCAGTTTCAACCACCCTGCCACAGGCAGGGACACATTCCACTAGACCAAGTTGCTGGAAGCGTCATCTAACCTGGCCTTGAACACCAGCCACAGCTTCTTTGAGCAACCTGTGTCAGTGCCTCACTACCCTCACTGGGAAGAATTTATTCCTAATATCTAATCTCAGTCTCCCCTCTGTCAGTTTAAAGCCATTCTCCCTTGTCCTGTCACTACACATCCTTGTCAAAAGTTCCTGTCCAGCTTTCCTCTCAGTCCCTTCAGGCACTGGAAGACTGTTTATAAGGAATCCCCAGAGCCTCCTCTACTCCAGGCTGAAGTAGAAAGGAGCCTCCACGATTGTCCCCTTCTGGACAGCATGATGACAAGGGTATAAGCCCCTTAGGCTTACTACTGGTGGATTAAAATCTGAGTGGTCCAGCAGGCTCACTTACTTAAGGACAGCTAGTCCCTCTTTTGCCAAAAACCATCTTTGACATAAGAAGGTGTCAAGGAGAAAATAGCCAAAGGCAGTGGCAGTGCTCCTGCACTCCCCCTTCTAGATGCAAGCATGCCATGTATCACTTCCACATGTTCTCTTTTTTGTGTGTTCTTTAAAAATACTTCCTAAGTATCTTACTGAGAACACTTGTATGCAATACGTTTTCTGATTCAAAGCACTGTAGTCCTCTCAGTTCATGACAGAAGCTTTGTTATGTACCACAGGGACTGGGAAGGTATAAAATCTAGGCTGCAATTTACCCATATAAATTAACCTATAAACTGTTTTCATTTCAGTGTCAGTGTACTGTTTTACTGCAAAGATTCACTTCAATTTGCTCTCTTTAAACTTAACTGGGGGGTTTCTATTCTTTCCTACTTAAGAATCCTAAATAGAAAATAGTTTGCTTGATGCAAGAGCTCCTAAAAAAGTAATTTAAGTTTCCAGCCACTCTTGACATTTATTTGTGCAGAGCTTCATGGCTTTACACTCATTTTATGCATAAGCCTTTAAACACAGCAATGTAAAAAGTGAAAAACAGCCATGTACAGAAGCTCCCATTTTATGTACCAGCTAGTGGCACCAGTGAATATGGTTTTAGAACAGTATGAGCAAGGTGCACCAGGAGCAGAAGTGACTCCTGTAACTCTTCTGAAAACAATAGGGCCCCGTGCAAGGACTGGTGCTCAGGCTCCATGGTGGAAGCAGCAGCCTGGGTACCAGAAGCTGTGAGCTGTGGACTCTGGCTGCTCTGCTATTGCCTCATCCCAGATGTCTGGGTAAGGCAGGCACCCCAGCTTGCTCTTCCATCCAAACTTCCTCCTCTCTGTACTGGAGAGATGACCCCAGGTTTGTACCCCATCACCTTCCTCTTCTCCTCTGCATTGCTGGTACCAAATCCTTTGCATCTCTCTGCTCAGAGCTGATGTCCTCATCCTTTACTTCTCCTTAAGCCTGTCCCAGATCTCAGGAATCCCTCTCAGGCACAGTTACGATCACACTGGTTTCAGCTTCCCCAGGTGTCTCTTCTCTCCCTTTACCAGAACATTTGTGATGTTCACATGCTAAAACATTACTCTCTCCTTTACTGTCCAGACTTTTTGGATTTATTCTGACTTCACTCACACACTCTCATCAGCTCCTTAGTACTTGGCCCCATGCTCTGTGTATGTACTTGAACACTCTTATCTATCTTCTGTGCACTCTTCCTCTCCAGTTCTGCCACTTTGTTCCACTCAATCATCATGTAATGCTATACTTCGCATATCTCTCTCCTTCAATTTTCCTCTTACTTCCACCTGTGCAATACTTCTGTGATCATGTATGCCCAATCTTTTCTTTTGTCATTGCCTCTCATGCATGGAAAGCAAAAAGAAGGGTTAAGATTCACCCATAAAGTGAATCCCAATCTGCATATTTAAAATAGCAGTTTTGACTCGCACTCAATGATTCTTTTTCCCCAAAGCTGGTATCTCCCTGGGAGATCTGAAGGTTACAGAGAAAGGACAAAGCCTGGAGAACACTGCACTGCAGGGCACAGTCTATGACTCCCATCTTCCATAATGACATTCCCAGCCTCAAGCACATGAGGGCTTGCTTGTGGCAGCTGCCTTTCTGGGTCTGTTCCAGTTCCAAACAGCTCACCGTGTGAATGAGAACTGCCTGTAATAGTCTATCAGCCTTTCACTGTCAAACCAAAACTGTAATGTGTAAAAGCCTGTTGTAACTTCCACACGCCTAGTGAATGAGGTGTGCAGTTCTGCCATAGAAGTAGCTCTGTGCAGGCAGCACTGCTGCTTTGGGACCTTTCAGCAGAGACTTTGAGATCATTCCTTTTTCTGCAGAAAATGCACGTATTTCAAGAGATCTCTAACACACTGAACCATGGGCCCTAGATATTTTTTATACAAGAATAATTTCGTATTGCAGTTGCTAATCTGAAAAAAAAGAAGTCTTATATCAGCTACCAGCATCTCCTGAAAACTTAAATTTTGTCTTCAAGAAAACAGCTGCTGTTCTGCTATTAAAGTGTGCATTATTAAGCGCTATGGTGTTCACCTATTTAAAGCAAAGAAAGCAATTATCTGTCCATAAAGCAGCTTTTGGAGCTCAAATGAAGCTGTGAAATTGTATGTTAGAAGGAAAGTGTCAGCATACACAAGCTCCCCCTCCGAAAACCAAATACTCCCATTCACGGTGTGCAAGGCACAAGCCATTACCTGAAATGAAGTTGGGGGGTTTATATTAACGCGAGCTTGGTTCCAGTGCTGTCCCTTATTTCCACTTGAAGACCACAACGGGTTCTCTATCGCGGTCTGGCCTTTCAACCTCAGGTAAACATTCAAGCTTCCTACAAGAGAGGTGGAGAACTGGAATCGGTTAGGCTGAAGCAGAGATAATGGGCTGGGTACAGCTGTGAGTACCCTGCTCACCTCCCCCTTCCACTTTCGCATGGGCCTCTGAGAGGTGTGAGTGCACGTGAGGAGTTTTGTAAATTCAGAAACTTTTAAATTTGGAAACACTGTGAACTGGTGATGTAAATCCACAGCAGAGGGAAACTGAAGTCCACTCCCCTGCTGCGGGCTAGGCAGTTGTACCAGGGTGAGATGGGTAAAAAGTAGTTTGCTGTGCTTTAATACAAACAAAGCATTTATAACCTTGTTATCCAAGGATAAATGAGCAACTTGGTTGCTTTATGCTTAACTCTGGTTTATGAAGACTGTACAACTTCTTGTTTATTCTGTACATCATTTAGCTAATAGAGTGCCATAAAGCCTAGTAAATCTATCTCAGAGATAGATGTGATGCTCTTACTAGTGGTAAGGAGTATTTTTGAAGGACAATCATAATCCTCTGAGTTAAAATAACCTCAGTAAAGTCCCTCACTGTGGAGAAACTTCTCCGCCCGCCAAATCTGTGTCTTTCCAGACTGCTGACCATTATATTACTCATTTAAGCACAGTCACTACTTGAAACAGGTAACAGACCACCTGCATTCAGCAGCCCTTCTCTCTGGTTAACCTCACTGCCTCAGACCATGAACCAGACTGTCTAGGTTCACCAGGAGACAGCAAATGCATTGACTTCATTTATCAGGGTTCAGGAATTCATGTAGTTTGGCAATTTTGTTCCTTCTTGCCCACCACTGTAATCTGTAGATGTGTGGGGCAGCAGTCTCTTTGTACTATGTAAACTACTGTGCTTGTCGTCATTCGGGAAAGTTCAGAGTCAAGTTCACACACGATTACTGGTTTTTTAGGGTGTTAGGCATGCCAGCTGGGAAGCTCATACAAATTATATCTGCAATGAAACCTCTCAGATCTGAGACAGCTGCACAGTGACTCAGCTCCTGCTAATAAAAAGTTCTTATTTCTAGCAGTAGCAAAACCCACTGCCTTGAAAAGCATACGGCTGTGTAACGGAGCAGCAAATATTCTCATCACGGCTATTTCACCAGGGTGCACAGAATGCGTCCATATATCTTCATTGATGGAAGTGGGGGGAGTGATGCTCACCAGAGCGACTGGGCAGCACCATGTCTCCCACATGCCTCCTGCTGCAGCCTCCCACTCCTCCTGCAGTTTCCAAAAGGCAAGGGAGGGTGCAGAAATAGCACAAAGAAAACCTGGCTTCTAACAGTGACATTCTATCTCTGCCTACATGTGCAACTGGGTAAAACAAAGAGACCTGAAACAAGGTTTGCAAGCAGAGAGATGCGTGGGTTTCTGGCAGCAGCCCTGCAGCCTAGCCCAGTAATGTCGCAGGCCTATGGAGGGCTGCTCACACCAAGTGGCTGCTCAGCCTCAGACCTCTTCCAAACAGCAACAGCAGCTCTTGGGCAAGGTTTGTATTAGTCAGCTACAACAATTCTCCCTTCCAAGAATTTCTACTGGGTCTGTAGTTTGAAAAAAAAGGCAGGCTATCAGACAAGGCTACCAAAAATCATAAGATAGAGTTATACATAATTATATTTTTCTAAAAGACAAAAGCAATGCCCATATCAAGAAAGACATGAATTGCTGGCTAATTGTTCCACCTGTTTGTGCAGGCTGATATAGCCCATGACACAGGGCTGTTTGAAATAATGAATGAGTAATTCATGTATGGAAAGCATGCAATTCCATCACTGATAAAGTTAAGGGATTTAAGACTGTTCACAGCATCCTCAACCTCTCTGTGTCACATAATTCCTTCAAATTAATAGCAGAATGATAGCTGTCTTATTTAAAATACAGAATAGCCATCACTGTACTGGCTATGGTCAGTTGTTGCCCACCACATTAGTTAGTATGGATACAACTGCCTGACCCTCATTGCTAGATATACACACATACCAGCCCTAAACGTCACTGAAAATTTAGCTAATGGCACCTGCAACCCACGCTTACCCTTTAAATTCTGCCAGTAACATTCTGGAAGTTACATGGCCTTTGCAAAGCTGATGCTGTGTGGGATGCCAGGTTGGCTATAGGGTTCGTGCTGAGGCGTGTCCAGCAAGAATTCATCTAAAGGCTTCAAACTACTCCAAACTCCACACAAATGGGTAATGAATTGACTCTTGAGCAGGATTAAAAAACAGTGGGCAGGAGGAACAACTGTGAATTAAGGAATAAAGTTCACTTTCTGAAAGCATCATGCCAAGAGGGTCCTGAGTACTCCAGAGGTGTCACCAGCTGCAACACTAGGGTGGTATTTCGAAGCTCATCACTGTGCAAGCACAAACAGCTTTCAGAGTGTGCTGACAGCATGTTCTGCTTCCCCTTTTTGTTTTGTGATGGCTCTCTAATGACAAGAAAAGGATTGCTCTTGAAGCATCAATTAGAAGCACCCCATTTTGGGGTATAGATGGAAAAACTGGAATTACAGGTTGCTTTAAAAGATGGTGACAACTATAATGGAACTACAACCACTTTCTGTCTCAATGTAGAGACACATTAAGGGCAGTGACTCTTCATTTACTTCTTCCCCAACAATGGCCTATTGTTTTATGCAAATCAAGTAAGAGAAACTTCTATTTCTCTTATGCTTCAGGGATAATCTACGTTCTCCTTTTGAAGGGTGTGAAACGATGCACATACAGTTTCTCTGGCAGCCAGCACTTTCAGAGTTAGCTCTATGTGATCTGTCAAGAATTACAATCTGACTTGTAAGTAAGAGACATCTATTTCAGGTAAAGAAATGCTTTATCTTCCTGAATCTAATTGCCATGGCATGGGATGTAGGTCCTTGTTTATCTCGTCAGAGCTGTGCTGAGGTGTAAGTGCTAATCTCAGATCTGTGCTCTGCTCTCTGCATTGATTTCAAAGTACCTCTCCTTATCACTACAGAAATTTTCAGCCTCTTCTCCAGAGACACTGAAGACCTAACAGCAGTCACAGAAGCTGAGCTGGCTCAACTGATAAGCTGTTTTGGGTTGGTTTTTTTTTTTTTGGGTTTTTTTTTTTTTTTTCCTATATATTGCAACAGGCATATTCTTGAAATGATGTCACCGAGGTAACTGATTTTTAAGACTGGAGGATGAAGTATCTTTTCCCCTAAGCCTGCAAGACCAGTCCACACCAGCAACAGAGCACCATTCCAGGACAATACTTCATTTCATTAAGGATCCTTCAAAACCATGTCAAAAATGCAGAAACATTTTGATGAGCATCAGAGCTGTTCTGAAAACAAAGTACTTTGCCCTAAGATGTGGGAATTATAACTCTAATACTACTTGGAAAACTTACGGATACGGATAACTAGGGAGAATGACGCGATCCAGTGGAAATGCACAAAAGTCTGCTGCACAGTGCTATAGCACTTTGGATGAAAAATCAAAGGTTAATGGCCATTCATAATCTCTGAATATGCTATCCCCAGGTCCAAGGAATAAAAAGGCCAGAATTTATTTAAGCCCAATTGCCCTGAAAGACGATTCTAGTTTGCAATAGTCAGGTCAAGAATCGGCAGTTCACCATTGTTCAAAAGACAGATCCTACGACAGAGATCACAGATGAAGTCTCAGCTAGCAGCTCCTATCCTGCTCTTGGGAAGAAGTCAGTGAGCTGGCAGTACTAATTACAGCCAGTAGCTGCCCCGACTGGCAGTGCTCGTTCCCAAATGGGAATAAGAAGCACCTTCTATATGTTGGATGCAAATTCCAGAACAGCTGTAAAGGGTCGAGGCTTGTGGCAGCTTGTGAATAGTCAGTCTATTTTAATAATATTTGGAATTATCCATGAGGGATTAATGTAATTAAACAAAATGTAACAAAACAAAATGTTTTTCTGGAAAAAATAAATAATCAAAGAATCACAGACTGGTTTTGTTTGGAAGGGACATTAAAGCTTATTCAGTTCCACCCCCTGTGCCAGAGGGGTGGACACCTTCCACTAGAGCTGGTTGCTCAAAGCTGTGTCCAACCTGGCCTTGAACACTGCCAGGGATGGGGCAGCTACAGCTTCTCTGGGCAACCTGTGCCAGTGCCTCACCACCCTCAAGGGAAAAATTTCTTCGCAATATCTAATCTAAATCTACTATTCCACAGAGAATTGCTGAGGTTGGGGGTACCTCTAGAGATCATCCCATCCAAACCCTGCTCAAAGCATAGCAGGTTAAAACAGGTTGCCCAGGATCATGTTCAGTCAGATTTTGTCTATCTCCAAGGACAGAGACTCCACAACCTCTCTGGGTAACCTGTGCCAGTGTCTGACAACCTTTAAAAAAAATAAATAAAACATTCTTATGTTTACTAGATTTGCCTCTATTTCAATTTGTGCCCCTTTGCCTCTTGTCCTGTCCCTGAGCATCTCTGATCTTCTTTACATTCTCCCTTCATGTATTCATTTAAGATTGATTAGATCCCTCCAACTCTCTCCAGTAATCCCATGTCTCTCCTGTACTAGGAGGCCAAGTACTGGCCCAGCACACAGATGTATCTCTCTGGTGCTGAGCAGAGGAGTAAGATCATCTTGCTTGACCTGGCAGCCACACTCTGCCCAATACAGCTCAGGAGGCTGGTGGCCATCCTTACCCGGAGGACACATCACTTGAAACACCCGATAAGGTTTCATTGGTCAAATCACTGTGTTATAATAACCCCTTTCCTAACCCAAAGCAATTTTTAAGACCACAGACCTTCAAAAACTCATTCAAGCAGTTACCTCATCAATATGACTATTCATACAATAATCATGTGCTTAAATCATTGAAGTCTTAGAATTTCATCACTCATTAGGTTTTTCTTTTTTCTTCATTATCCTCATGTGAACAATTTTAGTGACAGAGTTCACACCTGGGAAATCAAATGGCATATATTTGCTGATTTCATAATTTATTTCTTATATGCATGTTGCATTCTCACGTGTTTCATAACATTTTGTTACTCTGAGGAATTATAATTTTGAATTTAGTAGATATGTATAAGCGCCCGTTCAAACACACGGCTGATGCTATTAATTTACTATTTTTCTGCCAGTTTGCTCTTCAAAGACAGAATAATACGTAATTCCGTATAAATCTATTCAACAGTAGGCCATTTTGAACATTAGCTAAAATGATGGCAACTATATTTTTTAACATTATGTAACAAAAGTGATACTGAGCAATTTTGGTTTTCGACAACTAGTTGTCCACATTGCCATGAACAAATCCAATGTAATCTATGCTCACTAATCATTGTCACCATCTTCATCTGTGTGTCAGCTCCTTTGTCAGCCAACATATGTGTCAATTCAAGAAATTACATATAAACAGGAAAGAGTTATCTCAGCAAAAAAGCTAAGGACACAGATCCTTGCTGAAAAGGTAGCCCAGTAAAAAAACAACATAATTCCACAACGAGAGGTCACTGTCTCATGGACTGATGTCAGCCTCAGTGGCTGTTTTTCTTATACTTTATCCCAATCCTAAGGTATTCCAGAAAAATCTCTTTGACCCATTTGTAACTTTACTCTTCACTGTCCTATACCAGAAATAGTGTGGTATATGACCTTATAGGGCAGTTTATATTTTTTGCACTAAGCGTGGCATGGCTGAATCACTTCCTTCCACTAAACAGCCAAGCTCCCTCTGGAACACAGAGCCAGGAGAATTTAGACCTGGGGCTGAATTCATGTGTGCACAGTGCAGACACAACTAACAAAAACCTAAGTGAACTTGTCTGTTCTCTTTAAAATCTGAACTCCTCCTGGGGGCAGGCAAAGGTTTTCTGAAGCAACCACCAGGATGCACCCTGAGGATGTGCTTGCCCTTGAAATACATACAAAAATGCATCAAGTCAGCCCAGCTTGGCACTGGAAAACCTCCTGACACACTGGTAAAGAACTGAGCATCCCCATGAGGATTAACAGGATTTATAAAAATTGGCTATCATTTGTATTTTTGTATATTCCCACACCTTTTTTTCATACAACACAAAGAAATTAAACATTTGTGTTGAAAGAGCTATGACTAAAAATAAATGTACAGATACATCTTGTAAGTATATACTCCTACAACTTGTGAGCAAATTGTTCATGACTTTTACAAAGGAACTGTGTGCTGCTGCATTGCACACAGACTGTGCTGCCTCAGCTGCCAGCACATGAGTAGTGCTGCCGCTAATTGCTCGATCCTGAATCTAGTGATTCAAAACTGTTAGTATCAGGCAAAGTCCTTTCAAATATCACCTTTTCCCTTTTCACACTACAAATTCCCCTGCTGTGGCAGTGTGCTTTCCCACAATCTGACCTTTATTTCCTGTAAAGTGATAAGTACCAGTGGCAGTCATAATGGACGTGTCTGGTCATGATGGTTGCACCTGGTTGACCCAAACAAAGTGGATCCAGGGAAGACACAGAGCAACACAATAGCCAAGGGCTAATTTGAGCAACATGCACCCTCCTAACCATAGTGGTGGTCAAGGTCCAACTCAAGACAAGTGTGGAAGAAACTAACTTATCTAATTGTTATGCAAATATGACTGGGTCACTGATCTCACTCCATAACCCATGGGCACCCCAGAGCTCACGGTGCGCTCCTGCATGGACGTGGCTGTACAACAGGATCTCCCCTGTCACAGGAATGCCTCTTGAGATTACTCCTTAAGACTGAGAGATTCTTGGCCACAACAGATCCTTGGTAAGTGATTGGCAGCATGCTGAACTTCGATCTTAGCTAAGTGATATAAAGAACTGATTGTGCAGCTTTTTTTTGTCCTTTAGACATAAACTGTTGATCACAAGTGGGACTAAGTCTGGATCCAGCCACAACCCAGCTTCTCTCTGAGAAGGATTTCAGAACACAAGGACATCCTTTCTGAACCTCACAACCCAGCAGGAGGGTCTTCCCACCAGTTGTCTGATCCCATCCTCTATGCAGTAAATACTCAGGTGCACCTTGCCATCAAATCTTATTAAACCACTGCTGCATTTACTAAGAAACTTTGTTAAATCAGTATATCAATAAACATATTGATATTTCCCTCTCATGACTGAAGTGCATCGCTCCACCTGCAACATCTATTCAAAACCTCACGCATGTGTGAAACACCTCATAGGTACTAGAAGGGCTTCTGCCAGTGTGCTGATTAGCGGAAAAGAGTTTTACAGCAATTTGATGCTGCCAAGCACCCATCTTGCTAGCTTTGGTTGCAACTGGCCCTTGCAGGTGTTGGCAGTCCTCCCATGCTTTTCTTTCACACAAGTGGACATTTCTCTTGCTATTTTTCCCAAAGTGAAAAGACAAGGTCATTGGCTTTCTCTCACCTATGTGCTGTCCATACATGTGATAGTAGAAGCTAAAACAATAGGCTGTGTTCGTAGCTCCATAAGGATTTTTTGGAGCGACACTGAAAACAGGACTAACAAGTCTGGCCTTTTCTCCTTCCAGCCTGGGGCGTGATGTCTCAATGTACATGTAGAAACCTAGGGGAAGTCCAAATGGAAATCATTAGGTTGCAGTCTTCAAAACCCAACACATATATATGCAGGAAGACACCAGGACTATCAAGCATCTCGATTCATTTTTCACATGCATCTGACATCACCATGATTTCTGGGACATATTTCTTCTGCATTAAGTCCATGTACTTTCCACAACTACTTCAAAGACATGTTTTATACCAAGAGCATAATCAGGGATAGCAGGTCAATACTTGTAAATAACTTAAAATCGATGTAACATTGTATATGCACAAGAAAAAAAGAATATCTTTATGATGGGGTTCAGACTTCAGTCTCAAGCTTTCAGTTTGTTCCCATAAACACTGAGTAGGGATGACTTGTAAAATAAAAGGAAAATATCTTGATGGAAACATTTCACAGAACATTTTCAATAGTCTATGTCGATCAGATGATCAAAAGCTCACTTTCACAAAAGAAGACCTTTCATTTATTCTGATCCTAGACTGTGCCAACAACAGAGAGGATTTACTTGATTCAACCAAGAAAATTCAATGCAGTATGATTTTTTTATTTTCCCTTTGGTAGTGCAAGCAGGAGACATACAATAAAATAGCATAAGTTACTGCAGTACTTGATAAATTCAGTACACTATGTCTGACTTTTCAAATGCAAATATACACTGCAGTCAAGATGTCACGCTTCTGTTAACTGGGGTAGCAGATTGAAAATTACACATTTTAGGAACATCCAACGTAGAAATGGGGCAAAAAAAAAAGAAAATCTCATTGCGACAGTCTGAGAGAGTCCAAGTTAGAATTTAAATGACATAAACCAGAAGAATATGTCAAGATGTGCCATAATATTTCCCCACTAGACTATAATGTGAAAGCAATCGCTTTGAAAATGGCACAATAGAAACAATACAAGATGGTTAACTGCACCATTAGTGGGTCATGCTTTGGGACAAGCCACATGACAATTTCTTTTAGAAGTCCTTGAAGTACGCTTATTCTTGGTATAATCAGGAAAGTTGATGTAGTTGGCTGAATGGGCTGTCCTGGACAGGTCCCTCACCCTGGTGGAGCAGATACACCAGTGCCAGGGACCCAGCACACGGCTGGAGCTTACCTTCCTTGGAGCCAGTCCGATCTGCATTTGGCCCAGTGTTCGGAGTATATTTTGTGTCTCTAGTGGCAGTGCTTTGTTTTGTCCAGTCAAAATTGTCTGTGTCATCTTGAGTGAAAAGGCAAATGTTACCATCCTCAAACCCGCAGTGGAACTCTCCTGCCAATGCAGCAAATAAGCAGAAATTTAGTGGCTGAGGTTATTCTTCCTATGCTTGTTTGTCAACGTACTTGTCAATTATAAGAAACAAATTGTACAATGATGGTTATTAACAGCACTGGAAAATAGACATACATTTATTCTACATCAGTTTCTAGTGTTTAGTGTTTTCTTTTGCAGTAACCTCAATGAAAAAGAAACCATGGTCATTAATCTGTGTTGGTGTTACTTAAAATTATATTCAAATCTATTGTATAACTCTTCCTTAAGTATTCAGATGTATACAATTGCCCTTAGAGACTCTGTCTCTTCTTACTCATCTAGCATTTCTAAAAAAACTGAGAAGAAAAGGCAGCACCTCCTTAAAACATGAACTGTGGGAAATAAAAGTGAGAGGTGGGTGATTCTGGTTTAGGGATAAGAACATTAGGGAAAAGAAGACAGCAACTTTTCAAAAGAAAAACATTATCTCAAAATGACATCTCCTAAACTATTTTGGTTTTCAACAGAGATAGGAAAGCAATTTATGGCTAAAATGAGAGCAAAGGAGCTTTGGGGTAGACATGAGGAAAATCTCTAAAAATTAGGGCAATGAAGCATATGAATGGATTGCCCAAGAAGAGCACCGAGCCCCAGGCACTGGATTATAATAACCAATTAACTGGGAGGAAGGTTTAGGTCTATCTGAACCTATCTGGGCAGGACAGGACAGGTGACTGTGTAAGTCTTGAAGACATCTCCTAGACTTCCACCAAGATATCTGTTATGTAGTTGAGGTCAAGTGGTAAAAGCCTGGGTCTAAAGAATAAAAATGCCAAGAACCCCAGAGAGAATTAATGAGATACTCTCCTTGGTGAAACAGAGGTCTGTGAGACACACCAGTCCAGAGATCCTACCCTCCGGGTTATAATGGGATGAGAAAGTCCTACTGCCAGAGATTTAGAAACCAAAATAAATCAAACCTTCAAGGTTCAGTTTTCATCAGAACAGAATAAGGCTTCATGTAGTAAAGTGTGCAAAAGCTTAATTTTATGCACACTATCAGTTCCTGGTGAGTTTACTCTTCCAGCAAAGTCAATTGATTTATCTGAGAAAACAAACAAATCTCTCTTCTCTAGGGAGAACGTAGCTCTCTGCATCCTGTGTCAGCTACAGCCTTCTTTACAGGGGTTCAATTTATATTCATTGTTATGAGGAACAGCAGGCATCATAGCTAAATTGAAAAGGTATATAAACGTTTGCAGTTTTGGGGGTTTGGTGAACTATAAATCCACTTAAGCCACTGGAGCTTCACTGTAAATCAGTGAAAACAGAGGGACCTGGAGCTTAGCTTGGATATGTACTGCTTAGCAAGGATGCTGGTCTGAAGCTTATTTAAAATCAGGTAATACTGCAAACTCAAAAAGCAGGCTTGAAAAATTCATTCCAAACCACAAGGTGCAGTAGGAGTGATTTCCAAGTCTTTCTCATTCTGATTCCACCTGTCCAAAGAACAACACAAACAACCCTCTCCACAACAGTCAGCATAAAACACCATTCTGTAAAGCACATTTAACACAAAACCGCAATCCACAGAAACTTTCTTGGCTATTAGCACCTCAGACAAATTGACCTGTTTTCTCAGTAAATCCATCAGCTTTATTAGATTCTCCAGGAAAATTCATTTCCATAAGCACAGTTCCTTAACTGGCAAACATAACTGACAACCAATGGCATGATGGGGTGCCGGTTTCAGGACCCTGCACTTTGGTTTGGTTCTGGAAGCAAGATCTTCTGAATCCTGGATTTTGAATGATGAAAAATTGGCAATACAGGCAATCATTCAGTTTGTAAACATCATCACCTTAACTGCAGAGAAGAAATGCAAGTAGAGGCCTGGCTGTGGTTCTTCCAGAGAGACAAGCAAATCAAAAGACAAGGCCATAAGGAATACACATGGGCAGATAACACCCAAAATGTTTCGAGAGAGAAGCAAGTGAATAGATGCAGACTGACATCTCCATCTCTATCCCAAAGACCAGGAAGGGAATGCAAAGACCCACGCAAAGCTCTTGAAAGATACAAGGACTCGAAGTACTCTGAACAAAATGCCAGCTGTGCCTCTCATCTCCAATACCTTTTACATGACTTGAGCTCCAAATTCACTTGGTTTACACTGTATTTTGTGTATCTGGCTTTCACCTACACTTATGCAAGTCCTTCCTATAAGTAAAAATGGTGCAGCTTCTCCTACACTGTGTGATCAAATTAACAGGCAAACCAGTAATTTAAGAAGAAAAGTTCTGACTACCAGACCCAGTCCTGCATCAAAGTGAACTAACACAAAGCATTTTCAGCCATTCAGCAGTTTCTAACACTGCCCCTCCAGTACCTTAAACACTTCATTTGCATGTCACACCATGCCCTCAGAGCTTCATTAAGAAATTCCACATCAGCAGAACAAATGTTTTCTTCAAGTAAAAAAAAAAAAAAAGATAATTCAGGCCAGATGAAAAAAAGCAAAGTAAAAGTTTGTCATTTATTTAATATGAAAACACTGGCATCGCATAGGACTTCTCTATTTGTTATACATTGGAAAAGGTTAGTGTTAAATATATTTGGCACTGAACACTTCTTAAAAAATGGCAGAAGAATAAAAAACAGAAATAGCTCCCCAGGATTAGCTCAGTACATTTTGTATGCAAGAAGTAGGAGAATATAAATAGATCTGGATGGCCTTGACCTGTTCAGAAGTGGAGCAGCACACTGAGTGCAGGAGGAACAGCCAGCCCTTGCCCAAGCACACAGAGGTGCTCCATCCTGTGACATCGCTCAGACCACTATGGTTTGTTGAAAGCACTAACAATGGTGCTAATTAATATTAAAGATAGTGGTTAATTTTTGTTAAAACAGATGCCAGGTGTGGAGGTGGATTCAAGTTATTAATAATTTCTTTGCCCCAATTAGGGCAAAACCTGAAACTATTCTCAAGGTGAAACACTCTTCATTGTAGTATGAATTTTTGCCATCTATTTCCACAAAGTTCAAGTTGAATATAACTAACATCTAATTTCTTGTATTATTCAGGTGTAACATATAGTTGCACTAACTTACATGAAATCTCTGTGGTTTACATTAAGTTGTTTATATTATATGTTACAAAACAAAATGTAGATCTGAGGCTACATCTCTCAGTGTTTAAGTCATTTGATGCTACTTGCTTAAGTATTGTAGAAATTTCACAAAAAGGAAGGATTTACATAATGTGTTTATTCCAGAATAGAGGCAGGAAGAATGAGATTTCAGTTTGCAACCAGGTACCTTGCCCCGAGTTGAAAACAGCTCTTCATTCACAAAGGTGTAAATAAAATTGAAATTGAACACAGCAGTTTACAAAAAAACACTAGAACTTTTGTAGAAAGCACGGGCAATGATAAGATTGAATTTGTTATGGGAGACAGAATTTATCTTCTCCAGTTTACAGGTTTGAACCCATTTGCAGATAAAGGTTTCTTCCCTGTCAACAGATTTCACTCAAGGAATTGTTGGGGGAAAAAAGGAAACCAAAATTTTACCATCTCTTTGGTCATCTGAAAGAAGTTATACTGGGCACCCTATAGTCCTGGTGGGCAACCTTCCCATCACCACCAGTGCAGAGAGAGGCAGACCTAGAAAGCATATGAAGGAAACAGTGGACAGGTTGGCGGAGATGCCTTCCCTCACTTGATCCCTAATACACTCCCTATTGCAAGGGGCATTTGGATGCCACCTGCACTCTACCATGTGCCTAGTAGAGCTACAGAGACATTTTGAAAATGAGACAGTTTCAGATCTTAAAATCATAGAGGGCTACACTGTGAAGTACTTGGGATTGCAATGCATTTTATTCTTAATATCACAGAGTATATAGTTAGTATATTAATTAGCAAGGGTATCATGTACTGCTCATTTAAATCAGTGGGAGTGGTTCCTTTGGCTCCTGTGAGTTTGAACTAACTTCTGATTAATTATTAATGCATTGTACAAGATATTCCGCAAATAAGATTTACAGAAAGGCTTAGCCATCATGTGTGACAGTGGGAGAAAGAGGCTGCTGATACACGCCAGCACTGTTTTTCTGCCTGATTATGGCTGTGTGAAATCAACAAAAATGGCAGACTGAATCCCATTCCCTGCACAGGAATATTTTTAGCATGTGTTATTAAAAGCAAGAGGAATGTCAGAATATGTTGTGACAGAAAAACAAGCATTTGCTGTGGTGTAGAAGAAAAAGATGAAGTAGATAGATGTGGGGACTGTTAGGAATAGAGTAGTTTTACTGGGACATGACAAAGGTAGGACCCAGCCTCCTGTTTGTGAAATTCGTGATAATTTTGTGCCCATGGAAAAGTGCTAGAACAAAACCATTAAAGAAGTCACTTCTGCCCTGCAATATAGCATCATAGACCTATAGAATGATCTGGGTTGAAAGGGACCTTAAAGACCATCTAGTTCCAACCCTCCCCTGCCATGAGGAGAGACACCTTCCACTAGAGCAGGTTGCTCCAAGCTCCATCCAGCCTGGCCTTGAACACTGCCAGGGGTGGGGCAGCCACAGTTTCTCTGGGCAACCTGTGCCAGTGCCTCACCACCCTCACAGGGAAAAATTTCTTGCTAGTATCTAATCTGAATCTACCCTCTTCTACATCTACCCACATCCCTGTGCCTAAGCATCAGCACATTAGAGAAAATGGTCTGTTTGCAATTTCAATCATGCCCGTGGAGCTGCCTCCTGTGAATTTGTCTGAACACTTTCACACCCAAGTTACACTTCTGGTCTCCACATTTCCCTGTGCAAATAAGGTCCATGATTCCCACATGTACTGCATGAAAAAAAGTCTTCTTTTTGTTTTAAAGCTGCAGATGAGCTTCTGACTACCTTCTGAAACAGCATAATAACTTAAGAACTACAAATTAAATTCTTATGTAAAAAAAAATGAAGTCAGAAGATTTCATAATCTGACATTTCCTTCACGATTTCTACCATACCCGTTGAGGTGCAGACACAGTTCCTACACAATAGGTCTTTCAGGCATTTAGCTACTCCCATGACTAAACCATAGCATCACCTGTACATACTGAGCTGCAGTGCCCACAAATGGAGGTTACATTTAGAATGTTAGTATTTTCCTTTACAGAATCACAGGATGGTTTAGGTTGGAAGGGACCTTAAAAGCTCATCTAGTTCCAACCCCCTACCATGAGCAGGGACACCTTTTCCACTAGACCAGGTTGCTCAAGTTCCCATCCAACCCGACCTTGAACACTGCCAGGGATGGGGCAGCCACAACTTTTCTGGGAAACCCATTCCAGTGTCTCACTAGCCTCAGATTTTTTTCCTAATATCTCATCTAAATCTCCCCTCTTTCAGCTTAAAACAATTCCCCCTTGTCCTGTCACTACTGGTCTTTGTCAAAAGCTCCTCTCCAACTTTCTTGTTGGCACCTTTAGGTACTGGAAGGCTGCTCTAAGGTCTTCCCGGAGCCTTCTCTTCTCTAGGCTGAAGTGTTTAGATGAACTGTTTGGGGCAGTGAGAAAGAATGATGAGCTGGAGCTATAATTTTTCCATCCTCCATCTATTCCTTCTTTAGCACCTTGGAAGAACAATATAAAAAACACCTTCAAACCCCAGCCCAGCTCACACACAAAAACTAAGTTGGTCCCTCCAATTTAGGGGCTGTGACTGAAAGTAAAATACTTATAATTTATTTTTTAACTGTGAGGAACAAGATATGCAAGCACAGTTCTTCATACACAGAAAAACTAAAAAGATAAATACTTACGTAAATGTGGATTTACTGGAGCTGGAAGACAGAGCAAAAACAAAATTAGCAAGGAGAAGAAATTTTAACTTATCAGTATTTATATTATACTAAATTTTCCATTTTCCCTCCCCTTTACGACCTTGATCCTAGCTCCTACAATGAGAAAGCCAGCAAAAATGGAAAGTTCCTTTCTGAGCAAATTTTGCGGCTCCATGTCAACCCAAAGCAAAACTTTTAGGGAGAAACACTAGCCTCTCCAATCCCTGACGTGTATACTCCATCAGTAGTACCTGCAACTCGGGGAACAAGATGATGGAATTAAGCATCAAACCTAGATTATTGGTGCAGATATTGTAAGGATGAGGATGACTGGGTAGCAAAACTCCAGGGTAATGGCTTTGTACAGGAATCCAACAAAAACTACAGAAGGGATGAATTCACCATAAGCAGAGGTCCATACTGGACCTTGCTTAGCATTTAAAATTTCATTTTAGTGTTATTCTAGAGTACTTCACATAATGAATTACCCTTCTACTCAATAAATAGTACTGTTCTTCAGTTTAAGATGTCTGTGTACATACAAGTCTTAAGAAACAGACAGCACTTGAATTCTTAGAAATGCCAATTTTACTTTTAAACAGCAGAAAAAATAAGCACAGCAAGTTTGTGAGAAGAGGTTTGACATCATTAGATTGAGAGACACAACCAAAGAAAAAAGAGTCTTCTGGCACATAAACCCTTTTCTATGGAGGAGATATGTTAAAGAAATTTAAGACTATGACAAAGGAAGGTGAAGTTTACTGTCCTAAAAAAATGCCAGCAGTTCCATCATACTCCATGCTTGCCTGAGGACCGACTCACAAACTCCTTAACATCCATAATTCCTTAATACTGAAGTTCATCTACTTAACACCTCAATAGGCTGAAACAGAATGAAAGTCAAACCTCCACAGTGCCTACAGATCCTTTAACCATGGGAATGACAATCCAGGTTTAGGTCCAGAGTAACCTGCACAACGCTAAAACTGAAAATTGGGTTTGAATAAGAAATTAGTCTGCAGTTCTGTGCTACCTGTTTGCAGAAGGGTAAATTTGAAGGATGGATGACTTAGGAAGTGGAACTTCTGCTATAAGCCCTTACATATGTGAGAAACAGGAAGATGCTAAACTCACAGTTGGAATTGAATGTTATTAATAGAAAATTGGAAATAAAATTTATCTCCAAATAATGGGTTCATCTGGCAACATCAGACATCAGGATGAATGGTGCTCCATGTTTTCTTGCTGTCCTTCTCATACCATATGACTAGACATAAACTCTTGGTTCGTCACCCCTGTCACGGATTCTGCATAGCTTTAGATTTCACCTGAAGTTTTCAAAACAGCACTAAATTAGCAACTCTGCTACTTTATCTCCCTTTCTCTGAAACAAATGAGCAGTGATTTGCCCTAGTGCAATTTTCTTAAAAAACTTAGTCATTACGTTATATTAGATAACCTTTACCAGCACATTACCTTTCACTCTCCAAGAAACATTCATTTTGTGAAATCCTTGAGTGATTGAACTTGAATTAGCTGAAATTGCTGGGAACTACATTTACTGATGCTTGATTTGTAGCTAAACATACATGTTTTTATGGAAACTATTATCAGTATGTAACCTTAAGTCATACTGTTCAGTTTGTTCACAACAGAGCAAAAAAGGTTTATTAGCAGCCAAGCTTCAGTTCACACCGATTGACAACAGCAGAAAACCAAATTAAAACAGTTTGGCTGAACTTATCTAACATTATAAATAAAGAAAAAATACTCCATCAAACCAAATAAAAAAAACAGAAAGCCCACTCCTCTGAGTAATACAGCATGCTGCTATGAGACAATGTGAACAGCTTTAGCTCTCACTGCGGAAAGGCAAGGCTGCTGTGCGCACGACACACAGGTAGCAAGTTATATTAGCCATAAAAGGAAATTAATGGATGATTGAGGGAGTAAATTCCCACAGCTGATTTCGAAATGTCTGGCAAACCTGTGCACCTGCGAGGGTTATTGCTGCTCTGCTCAGCTGACCCTGGCTCGTGCTGGGAGGAAGGTTTTGCTGGCAGGAGAACAAAATGTCATGAAATGTTTGAGCGTGGTTAGAGCCAAGACAGATGATCCCTTAATCTTCCTGCTGTTCCTCCAGCAACCAGAGAATAAAAACTGCTGGAATTTCAGTTTGCTGGATGATTTTACTTTTCAGTGGTCTGTATTTGTGCAGGTCACAACAGAAAAATGTGGGCTGAGTGGCTTTTCTTAATGCTTGCCTTTCTGTTTGGTGGAATGGCATATATGCCAAGACAGATTTCCCACAGCTCCTTCCGAATACAAATACTTGCTCAGCTTAAAAATGAAGTGGTCTTCAGAGTCTGCAACATTATGTCCCTCCTTAAAAAAAAATTAGTTGCAAACCAAGCTCTCCTAGCTATGGAGAACACAGAGACAGAGGTAAGTAGAAGCATGCTAGATGTTCAACTGCTATGTTTTATACCACTGAAAACTAGTTGTCTGTGGTAATTCCAACCAGCATCTAAAAGATTTAACCAAGATCAAGAGTCCATACCTCTAAACACTTGGTTTGCACAGGAAAAGCAATCTTCACTGTAAATATTGGTACCTTACGGGGACAAGGCTTTCTTCCTTCCTGCCCATGGCAGGGGGTGTTTGAACTTGATGATCTTAAGGTCCTTTCCAACCCTAACTATTCTGTTCTATGATTCTGTGATTCCTTCCATAATAGCAATTATCCCAACTTACTGTTTGCAACACTGGATAATACTGGAAATGTATGCTTGTGCAAACTTATAAATCCAATAATTTATGCCCTATTTGGTACTAATTTTATTTTTCTGGAAATTGCTCTAGAAATATAATAATAACAAGAATAATAGCAATAACTAATTACCATCATTCTATTTGCTCTGATATAGAATCTGTGGAATGTCTAAGCCTCATATGAAAATATGCAAGCTGGACTACAAAGTGACTGGCCACCATCATCTATCTCCTGCTGTTGCAGTGCTGACTACATACCAACAGTAGTAACAGGTTGCTGGCTTTTTCCATAGAAGGGAGCTAAATTCACTTCTTTAATCACCAGTTTACTTTAAAAATATTTAAAAGTAAGCGTGTATCTGAACCAGTGAGTACTGAAGTTTCAATTGGAGTATTTGGGGACTTCACAGCCAGTTTGTCTCAAATAGACACAGATTTATGTATAGTGATGCCACACTGACACAGATTTATGTATAGTGATGGAGATAATATTTAAAATGTTATTATGAGACATATCTGCTGTTACTATGAGACATCTCTGTAACAGCCTACGAAACATTCATTACTGCTACTTAAATTACCCTGTTTGTATTTACTCGGCAGACTGTGTTCACTAGCAGAGTAACACATGCATCAACCAAAGAATTTGTCAAGTGATGTTTGGCTGTAATTATCAATGTCGCTCCTACTGTGATGATTGCTCTTTTCTCCTGTACTTTCAGCATTCAGATGAGAAAATAATTCATGACAGGCGAGGGATTTCCCTATGAAATTCTTCTGCCATAGGTAAGTTTTTTATTTATGTGATTGGATGCTGTGGTGTTTTTATTTTGTATTTACAGCTTCCACTTGGGATGGAAGGATATACTGTAAGAGCTCACCACTGAGTTTTTCTGCGTTAATAGTCTCCTTATTTTGAACATTTAGATGGCCACCAGAAGGTTAGCACACTGGAAGCTGTTATTTTCATATATTAGAACTTCCATGTTAATCTCCATTTGTGGAGGTTAATCTAAAAGGTGATTACCTCTGCATCACGTACAAAGGAGTGTAATCCAATAAAAATGATTCGACATGTCAAATTAACGTGGCTTAACTTTAGCCTTCTGGAAGTTAGACCTAGACACATCATCAAAGAGTGTCATTGGAGTGTCTCTGAAGTCACAGGAGAGATATGGGCATGTCCAGACAGTTATTAATCTCCTGGAAGAAATCAGGAGAAACCTTCTCCTCTCTAATAAAACAGCAAAAACAACCAATACACTAGAAATGTCCTGTTGATGCTTGCACATTATATAACTATATCCTAGAGAAATCAGTTCTGTGGAGTTCCTACCCAAGATTGTCCTACTACAGAACACATAGCCTATCTATTCTCTGTGAAAGTTAATGTATTCCCTACAGGTGAAAGAGACTGCTACCATTTTTCGCAACTCTAAAATGTGCCCAATCTTCTTTTCACACTGGCTGCATTTCTTTAAAAATTGGGGTAAAATCCTATTAGCCTGCTTAAAGTTTTAAAAAATAAGGCAAAAAATGTTTACAATGGAAATCCTCACCAGTATACACAGGTGCATTTCAAACCTCAGAAAAAATGTTTTTACTCTAAGGGTGATTGAACACCAAACAGGTTGCCAAGAGAGACCGTGAAGTCTCCATCCTTTGAGATATTCAAGACATGAAAAGACATGTTCCTGGGTCCTAGTCCACCAAAAAGAGTAATCCTGAAGTGGTGGCATAAGAAGGTCTGACGCTGCTAGAGGCCAGCATGCTTCTGGAGTACTCATCAAAACTGAACACACAAAGCCACACACACACACAAAAGGCTTCCGAAAATATGAAACACAGAACCACAGAATGGTTTTGTTTGGAAGGGACCTTAAAGATCATCGAGTTCCATCTCCTGTGCCATGGGCAGGGCCACCTTCCACTAGACCAGGTTGCTCAAAGCCCTGTCCAACCTGGACTTGAACACTGCCAGGGATGGGGCAGCCACAGCTTCTGTGGGCAATCTCTGCCAGGGCCTCACCACCCTCACAGGGAAAAATTTATTCCTAATATCTCATCAAAGTATACCTTATAAATCAAAATTCTAATCTATATCTACCCTAAAACTCAAATGTTTTCCCCCTTGCCTGAGGTATCACAATTAAAAAAACCCCATGTAATTGGAAAAAATGTAGAAAAAAATCTTAGTTCTCCTTTTAAGAAACATCTGCTTGATGTCTTTGTTTTTCTGGGTATTGTTTATAGTTATTTCTTACACTGACGCAGGCCTGCTGCTGTGGATCGTGCTAGCCCATTAACTGCTTTTCTAAGATTCCAGCATTTCAGACCATAAGAACTGGATTTGCATTATAATAATGTCCATTATATCATTATTTTAGAGTTGAAGCTGTAACATCTTTAAAATTACCCTGTTAATAGATGGCTGACATTAGAGTCATTGGACGAATCCTAAGATAAAAATGCCTATTTTAAGCCCACAAAGCCTCAGTGGTTTTGAGATCCTTCTTTAAAGGGAAGTCACTTTAGGTTTATCTTAGTGATTAGCATCTGGGTCATGATTCCTGAAGCTGTGAATTTATCAGCATCAGAGTCACAGCACTGAATGTTGCTCCAAAGGCATCTCTCCATCTAGGGTACAGAAGCAATAGCTTCCTCTCTCCTGGGCAGCTGGATTTTACATTGGCACCTCATCCCCACATTTGAAATGGGATGTTGTTCACATCTGCGCTAATGGCAGATTCTAGCAGAAAAATTTTCCGTAGACAAAATACGCTTTTTATGCTGCATGGGAATGTTCTTCCTGCCAGTCAGGGGCTAGAAATGTAAATCACATAATGTTTCATTAAGACCTCAAACTCAGCACAGTTGGGAGCATAGCCGAGACCTCAAACAACCTTCTGACACTTGCCGGATTAAAACCCCCACCAAAAAAGAGCAGTAGTAACCACGTGACCCCAATGGTAGGGTTTTTTTTTTTTTTTTTGTCCTTATAGGAGCACTGGTCATTATTTAAGTAATGGGAGAAAATTCAAGAAGAGGGCAGTGGCTACCTAGCACAAGCTAGGTAACCACTAGTGAGGCTACCTAGTGTCCCTAGGTATCTAGTGAATCACTAGGTCACTAGTGAGGATGTAAATGTCCCTATCACAGCCACCATGGAGAGATTGGGATTGGTACAGAGAAATCCCAAATGTCTGAATGAAGCTTCTGCTCCTGATCACCTTTGGAAAAACTCTGCATCTTTCCCATCTGCATGGGGGGAATCCCAAAGAGACCTGACTAATACTGCTAGTGTTGGAAAATAGGAACTTCTTAAGGTAAGAGGTCCAACGAAGAGGCAAAGTCCAACAGGAATTGCACCAGTGTGGCTATCTTCTCCTCATTTGTAACTTCATGGATGTAGTAAGCAAGTCATTTCTTTAATTTAGGTTTTGTTCTCGTGAGATTTAGGAAACAAAGACTTTGCAAACACTTTCCTGTAGCAGGAAAATTCATCACCATCATTACCAGATCTGGCATTTAGTGAAATGTGCCACTCCATTCTTTAGAATTGATATTTGAGACTACATAATGTAAACTTTTCCTGGATATTATTACAATGATAAAAATAATTTATTATGAGATTGAGCAGGGCTGAGCTAATCACTGATCATTAAGAACTGTACAGATGATGCACAAGACATTTAAATGTTTTTTTCAGAGTAATTATTTGATAATGATTTCTTAAAGTAATTCCTCATCTGTAGGTTGTTTTTGGGTGTTCTGCTGATGTGATTTCCTACTTCTGGCTCTCTTAGGTATCTGCATAGCACTAATTATGGTTGGATTCAGCTTATGGAGCAATTTGACCTACGGGGCTAGCTGTGACTTGATTAACAAGGCTCCTCATGGTACAATCGTAGGATCACAGAATGCTTTGTGTTGGAAGGGACCTTAAAGATCATCTAGTTTGCACTAATTATGGTTGGATCCAGCTCCTGGGGCAATTCGTCCTATGTGGCTAGCTGTGACTTGATTAGCAAGGCTCCTCATGGTAGAATCACAGGATCACAGAATGGTTTGTGTGGAAGGGATCCTAAAGATCATCTAGTTCCAAACCCCTTGCTCCAAGCTCTGTCCAACCTGTCCTTGAACACTGTGAGGGATGGGGCAGCCACAGATTCTCTGGGCAACCTCTGCGAACTCACCATCCCCATAGCAAAGAATTTCTTCCTAATTTCTAATCTAAATATAAATCTAACCTTTGTCAGTTTAAAGCCATTACCCCTTGTCCTATCGCTACAGGCCCTGCTACAAAAGTCTGTCCCCAAATGATTAAATACTTTCATGGTTGAATGCTTACAGTTATATCCCCCTGCCACACACATCACTTCTTCAATTATAAATCTATCCGCTAAGCACATCAGGTTTCCCACTACAAACTGCACAACGGTATCTTTAGCTAAGCTACCTTCTGTCTAAGGCTCTTCTTGCCCATTCATTGTAATTTTTACAGACAAAAAAAAAAAAAAGAAGAAAAGTTATTCATTAAAAAAATACCCTAAGAAAGGTATTTGAAGGGATTTTCCAGAGCTCTAGCAGTTAATTCCTGGTAATGCTGGGAGACTGAATGGAAGGATGTATGGATACTGTGTTTTTCTTGTTAGGTTAAAGTGAAGAAATTTTCATCACAGCTCAGCCTTTTAGAAGAAGATGTATAAATGCCCCTTTCCACTTGTTTAGGACTAGAAACAGTCACTTTATATATATATCATTCACATTCAAATAAGAATGTCTCAGAAAGTGCTCATTCTGGAAGAAAAATATATTGATGACATCACAACACTGATTTGACACTTTAAGAATAATACTTGTTTTGCAGATTTTTCTTCAAAACTCATTGCCCTTCAGTGTTCGAAGTAAGAACAAACTCTTGAAATGAGCTTTTCATGAAGCTAATATCAATTTGTTCAGTTTTTCCATTTACTTCACCAAATTTCAATAGGGTTTTGTATTTTGGCTGTTCAGATCTTTTTTAATTATTATTTTTATTTTGTATTCAATATTGTGACTCTTTCCAAAGGTGGAGACAAAATTTTGTTTTTACCAAGAACCCTCCTTCTTAGAAGCCTACTCTCGTCCCTTGCAGCATTATTTCCAGGACTGGTATTTGGTTCACACAGCACAGCCATGCCCTGTAGAAAAGACCAAACTATGCAGAAGTCACCACAACGCATTTGCTTGTACACAAAAATCTTCTTACCACTATATTTGATGACCCGAATAGTTGAGTCCCCTTCACCAAATCTGGTGATGGGTGTTAGACGGACTTCATAAGCCTCTGGCTTGATCAGCTCGGTTAGGTTGTAGGTAATTAATTCTCCCTTTTGAATATTTCCATTCACTGTAATTTCCTGTTCCCACCAACGCTGTTGTCCAGCCTAGAATCAAAAGAAGAATGCAAATATAAGACCTTTTGGGACAGATGTTGTCTTCACCTTAACGGGAGCACATGCAGATCTGTGCAACCCTAGGTGCATCCTTAAACCTTCCAACAACACAGAAGGATTAAAGATACAGTAAAACTACCAACCTCCCTGAGACAACCCACTAATGGGCATTTCTGCTACAAAGAGATGAGATCGCAGATTGCAAACACACTTTATGAAGAGGCCACCCCTGCCTGACACCTGCCAGTTCTCTGCCCGTATAGGTCCTGCACCAAACCTTGGGCAGCCCATGGGCTATAGGCACCATGCAGCACCCAGATGCTTGCTGCAGGCAGGAAAAGTATCACGTTCATTTAGATCAGAAGAACTGCTGACACTCACCAGAGACTACAGTGAGGGATAATGCACCCCGTTTGGGGTGGTATGCAAGCATCCAAGCAGATGCCACAGAGTTTTACAAAATCTCACTGAATTCTTCCATATTTAGGAACCACCACTTTTGCAACCCTGCACCTATGTTTAAAACCTACTTATCAAATTGTTAAATAACTTTTTTTTTTTCCTGCTCATTTTGGTTCATTTCATCGGCTAATCGAGGCTGAATTTACTATGCTATATAGAATCATAGAATAGTTAGGGAAAAGATTTTAAGATCATTTAGTTCCACCCCCTCCGCCATGGGCAGGGACACCTCACTCTAGCCCATGTCATCCAAGACCCAAACCTGACCAGGTAAATTGGCCTCTTATGCCTATTCCCTCCAAGATTTTAAAATATTATTGGCTAGCTACACAGCAGATGTGTTACTGGTCACTGTGCACACCAAGCTGGGACAGCTGCGACTCCGTGAGCTGGGTACCGCCTCCTTGTTAAAGGCAATGAGGTTTCACAGCTGTCATTCGTGGCATAATCTGAAGCTAATAAGAACCCACTGAAGAAATGAAATGCAGTTTGATTTCCAAGTACTTAGCACTTGTTGTAAGAAAGAAATAGGCTAGCCACTAATGGTCTTAGTGCATAATTACCAGCAATCCTTGTACTTTCAAAGATGGATGGATTTCAGGGAACAAAGAAAGTCAATACGAGCAAACAGGAGATTTTATTAAAAAAAATGGAAGATAGATTTTTGTGCTGTATAGACTGCACACTGTTTTCAACATCAACATCCATAGTTTCTTTTATTTATATGCCTTATCAAGAAATTAATCTAGTTAACAAGGCATCACTAGAAGTGTCACATTGTCTCTAACGTTACTTTAGTTTATAGATAAGCAGAAATCATACAGATTTTGGGCAGCGGAGTGACTGATACTGCAATACTACTTGCAGACACCTTGCTTTATTACACACACTATCTGCAGAAACAAAAATAAAAACAAAGGAAAAAACATTAAATATTTACCACGCATCCCAAGACAACTGTACGGGTGCAGTGATGCTAAAATGAGATGTTCCACTAAGCTTACTATACCTGTCAGTGCACTGAAGGTCTTACCTATTAAAGGATCACACATAACAAGTTTACTAAGGACACAATACTTTTTATTCCAGAACTTTAATTTGCTGATGCAATAAAAATATACACTGAAATATCTGAAATCTAGCACTAAACCTACCACAATTCATCCAAATAAACTACATTTGCAGTAATTTGCGGATCTTCTAAAGGATTTTTTCCCAATCTTACTTCCATTGTACTTTTTGTAGTTTGCTCTTTGCAATGCTTCCAATTTTTTTTATTATTTTTTTTAAATCATACTGTGAAGTTGACTACAAGGAAGATTAGAACTATTGAGTATGCCCTAAAAGTGAGCACTGTACTACCAAACATAATTCATGATTGTGTCTGTACCTTTTAACAAAAATTGAGAATCAGAGAAACATAAATCTGGAGAAAATTACCTAAATTTCAACTTCTTTTTTTTTTTAATAGATGCCATTGGTGGGTTTTTAGGGCATATATTTTATAGCACTATGCTGGTTGCCAATTACATTTGTGGGTACTGCATTAACAAAACTGTGCTTCCAGTTGCATGAGCCAATACTGACTTTCCATCATTTGAAGTTAGCTAGCTGTTGCTTAGAGGAACTTCTGACTATTTACAGTGGTCTACTGTAAAATATTCCCTGTTGCACCTCATTTCTGGATAAAGAAATAGTGAAACAGAAACTTCGCAAATAATTTCAATAATTAATACTATATGTTTAAAGTTACCAAGAGTAGTCATGAATTTGTATGAAATTCAGTTCTTGCTTTAGACTACTGCCCTTTTCTACATCACCCAAACAAAAGCAGTAAAGAAGCTCCATTATTTTATTAATTCTGAAAGCAACACAATTTGATTTCATTTCAGCTTTATGCATCCTAAGCCAATATTGGATATCAGCATTTCTCAATAGGAAGCAACACACATCTTTTTGCCTTGCAATCAACACCAGCTCTGTTCTAATTCTTATTTTTACCATGGAAACCAGAAAAACCCCAAACATCTCAAAATTGTTGCTAGATTTGACACAAAGCATTCCCTTGCCTGATTTTTCAGCTCCACTATTGAACAAATAAGCAAAGAAAATCAGTATCCACTCAGCTTTTGCCACCTTCAGCTCTCAATTTTCTTTTTTCACTAGGAACATACCCAGCTGTTGGAAGTGAGATGGATGCTTGGAGGCATCACTCCTGAAGCCTGACACAACCCTGGTGGACCTCTGCTAGCAGCCTGGGCATCAGTGCAGAGCTGATTCCCAGACCAGGTGTGAAACAGCAATGGACCTTGGCTGACCAGTATTGAAACTGTTGAATACGGGTGTAGCAGCTGAACTCATTTACTTGCTGATACAGTAAAAAAATGAAGGTCAGACATGTAACCAGAAGGAAAACCAAGGGTTTTCTAGCACAGTATTTTTAAAGGCCTGCATGGTTTTGAGGCACCACAGTGAAATGCCCAACTTACCCTAAAAATAGGATTTAGATTCCTACAATGCCTTGGGGCATTCCAAACTCCTATCTCTGCAAAGCTAGACCTCTCCCTTTGCTCCTGCAGCAGTGTCTGTCTTCTTCCAGGGATCTGGGCATCTATTTCACCACCTTTGGCTGGGAAGGAGCCAAATCCACACCACCCAATTCCTTTAAATCACTTGAACAGCTTCTACCCAACACCCAGGCTGTGCTTTTTTACATTAAAAAGTCCAGGTTGATGTTTTAAAGAGAGAATGCACCAGCAAATCTATCTTTAATACATATGTCTGCATGTCAATTTGTGTTCAGAGCTTTAAAATTAGAAAGAAATATGATTTGCCTGAAAAAGAATTTTTGTAGGAGAAAAATTCTTATAATCAAAGATCTTGGCCTTACAAAGAAAATGGTGAGATACATTTTGGGAAATTTACTTTGACCAAGCTGAAACAACAGTTTTCCAATTGTTTGTAATTATTTTTAAAGCACTGAGGAAAAAACACATTTCTGATGCATTTACTAGCATTATCATATGCTAACCTGTAATTAATTTAGCAGAGCATATGTACATTCAGTCAATCCACTGCGCAGAAGGCTTCACAGGGGCTCCTTCTTGAATATTTAGAAATCTTTGTTTCCTAAAGCTAGCAGAAAAGCAAAATGTGTTTCCTTGATGTCAGAGAAAGGGAACAGTAAAAGTGTAGCAGTGTTTTATTGCAGCAGTCTGCAACCATCTTCTCTATGTGGTCAATGAAAGGGTATTTATTCTATGCCTGTTGTTGGGAAACACTGTATTCTCTAGAAGACTAGAACATATAGATTTCTTGGGATATTTACCCTATGGGATGATTAAATATTGATTGCTTATATGCACAGTTATGTTTATACAAAATAAACACAACCTTAGTCCTTTGTACTTGGCCTATTGATTTCAACCATAAATTTCTTCATTGACTCAAAGAGTCAATCATCTCTTTAATTAGTGACAACTGAATGCAAAGTAAATTAATCTACTGTAAACTCCTGTAAAAAAAAACTGTGGCAGTCTTTAAAGTAACTTCTTTACAACTTATAACAACAACAATTGATTTTCCTTAACAATAAAAGGAAGAGTTTTCTTTCGTAGTTATAGATATATAAAACTGCATGGTTCAGTTCATGAGCAAAAACTTCTATCTGCACACCACAGAGGAAAAACTCCCATTTAATGTTTGCCTTATTTCTGCTGTGCAAATCCAGTGCCTGCTGTTCTTCAACAATTTTGGCCAGCAATATAATCAGAGCTATCAGGTTTTGAACATAAACCTTATTAAGAAGGTGGCTCCTGTGTCATCTTCATTTTGAAATGATAGTTAGATCCCTGGAATGACTCACACTGAAAAATATCTGTAATTCAGGCAAAACCAACAAGGCCAGATGTAAAGCACGTTCTGCCATGCTTGTCATCAGTTTATTTTCCACTGTGCGCCATGCTCTTGTTGACATCTCTTTTTACAAAATCAAAGAATCGCAGGATGGTTTGGTTTGGAAGGGACCTTAAAGCTCATCCAGTTCCAGTCCCCCTGCCACACGCAAGGACACCTTCCACTAGAGCAGGCTACTCAAAGCCCCATCCAGCCTGGCCTTTAACACTGCCAGGGATGGGGCAGCCACAGCTTCTCTGGGGACACTGTGCCAGGGCCTCACCAACCTCACAGGGAAGAACTTCCTACTATCTGGTTTAGACAGGCCGTCTGTCACATTAAAGCCATTCCCCATTGTCCTATCACTACTTGCCCTCGCAAAAAGTTCCTCTCCAGCTTTCTTTTCAGCCCCTTTAGGTACTGGATGCTGCTCTAAGGTCTTCTCTTCTCCAGACTTCTCTTTTTTAGTATTTTAATATAGTAATAAATTTTTAAATGTTCATAATTTCAATAATTTTCAGTATTTAAAAAATATTTTCACATGCAATCAGTAGAACTGACAAAACCTCATGTTTGTTTCTGTGCTGAACTGTTTCTTGCTCTCTGCTTTCCTGTCAGTGCTGATGCCAGCTGCT